GCGAGGCGAAGCGGGCGTGCAGAAGTGCCCGCCCTGCTGTTTCGCGCTGGGCGTAGCGCGCCGACTCACGAGCGGTGCCTGCGGTGCTGCGACCGGCCAGCGGCCTGCGCGACAACGACGCTCGCTGGGTTGTTATTATTACTGCTCAGCCTTATGCACTAGGATGCGCAGCGCGCTTGCTGGGTGCATGACAGCAGCCTTGAAACAAGCGCTGGCTGCATATGAGATGACGATGACTACTGACCGAACGCCCGTCGCTGCGACGCTGCCAGCACATCCACGCACCACCGCCTGCCGGCTGCTCGCTCGCAGTGCGACACGCACGACGTGCCCGCCCGTTGCGACCCAACGTGTAAGACGGCGGCGTGGTGCGACACGAAGCGAGTCAAACGCTGGTCACGATACGCTGTGCGGCGGCAGCGCGCAAAAGCATAAATGGCGGTGAAACGTCGAAGCTCTGCACCTCCCGCGCGACGGCGAGCAGCAGCAGCAGAGGCGGCGTGCAAGGATGCGGCAAGAAAAAAACAGAGTTCGCTCTGCTGCATCGAAGGAGGATGTGAGGAGGGAAAGCCGGGCTAGCGGTGTTTAGCTGCTACCATACCGGCTTCGTGGTATTGCTCTCCCGCCGGCTTCGCTTCACAACAGGAAATCAGATCAGCCTCCCTGGCGCGGCCGTCGAGCCGTGAGCACAGTGTCTGCCCGACGACCGTAATTCTCCCTGACCGATGAGACATGACATGGAGCAGGTACGTTGCGGGCCATGTACCGCGCTATCGGCACACAACCTACGCTGACTCGGCTCCTGGATTGATGGCGCAGATTCGATAGCTCTCCCCTTGGGCCCATGAGTCTAGGCAAGGGAGGGCCGGCAGCGCCACGCGAAAGAGAGCCGACGAGCCTAAAACTAGCGTCAATCATCGCTGCCGTGGACTCAGGTACAGCGCTGTGATTGGTGCATAGCCGCGCGCCCGCCTGACGAAGCTTCTCCTGATCTCACATGATGAATCGCTGGTGCGGGACGGCAGGCCCAGTTGTCCAGCACAGTGGCGAGCTGTTGGAAGAACGGTCGGACATCGTCATGGCGTTGCATGCAGCTCGTCGGATAGTTTGGGTGCGCTGTGGGTGCACAGTGGGCACTCTGGGCAGTACGTAGAAACACGTCGAGCCCCATTGGTACCACGTAGGTGGGTTAGCGGGTGTTGGTCGCATTCGAGCCGCCAGGTCAGGGCGTGGCGGCAAAGTCGAGCCGTTATGAGCAGCAGCAGGAGGATGGGTACCAGGATTGCGGGATTCGTCAATGCAGAGCTGATGTCACCCGAAGTGCATAATCGCTTGCATCGACGAGCATATATCAACTCGCGTGGTCGTCGTGCGATTCATCATTTCTGCACTCTGGCCTCCGACACATGCTTTCAGGGCCGCGATTCGCACGCCTTCCTTGCCTCCGTCATTCGTCAGCGCAGAGTGGGCATGCAACGCAGACGAGATGGCAATGTGACGGTGCCAGCGCACAGCGTGTCTTGAATAGGTCACGGGTGGCAGACGGCACGCTGCGTGGGACAATCTCCCGAGTCTCCCTCCTTCGTCGGCCAGCAGTCCGGTGCTGACCTTGCACTCCTGGTCATCAGAGACGCCGCACCATTGGCCATCCCGTGCGCGGGGATGGGCACAAACGCGACCGATCACTTTACTGGCCGCGCTGGCACACATGATCACAATCCTTCGAGTCTCGTGTTTTGTCGCGCTGTGAGGCGGTGTGAGGTGGCTGCGGGCGAATCGGCATCGTCAGCGCAATCGTGTACGCTCTGACGTCGCACACATCTTTTCTTGCGACTCAGAAATTGCGTGCGTCGCGAGTCGCGCCCACGCGTGTCAGTCACATTATTTCGCGGATGGACTGGCGCTCGCCAATACGAGCCGATCGCTGCAGACGGCAATGGGCAGCCATACGAGCCTGCAGCGGTAGTGTTGAATCCGGGGCGTGAGCACTAGGACTGGACTAGGCGAGTGCATTTCGAATCGGTCGTCGCTCGCAGCGCTGGATTGCAACTCGTCTCAAAATGTGGCCTGCGACAGGGCAGCACGCCACACCCCGGTCGCGCGGCTAAACTCAGTCTAGAAGCTGTTCGGAGGAAACAGACAGATCTATTTTTCGTGCCGCCGCATGCCACCGCACCCCCCATCACCATGTCGCGTCTGTCGTCTGCCTCGACGCGGCAGAAGCTGTGCGTCGACTTGTATGCAGCTCGTCTCGTCTCGTCGGCCACCGCCCGGCGTAGCAAGCCTCCTGCTGACGATGGAATAGCGCCAGCCTCAGACACGCCTGCCCCAAGGGCGTCTACGTGGCTCCAATTCCCGAAGAGCCACTGCTCTGGACGGGCGTGCTGTTCGTTCGCAAAGGTAGGCACGCACGCCTGATCGCTCATGCCCGCCTCGCCCGCTCATCATGCCCACGTGTACAGGGCCGTATGCCAATGCCGTTCTGCGATTCCAGATCGACTTCGCCGGCGACTATCCGCAGAGGCCGCCGCTGGTCACGTTCCAAAGTGATGTCTTCCACCCGCTCGTGACGCCTCTCACCACGTACACCTACTCCACCCGAGATGCAGGAGCTGACACGCAGAGTGCTGTCGACGAGCACCGTCTGCCACCTGGCGGCCTCAGTCTTCGTCACGGCTTTCCTGAGTGGTTTGGCGCCACTGACACCCAAGTCATCCCGAGCGCGACTGCGTCAACTACGGATGCCGGGTCACCTTCACAGCAGGCGGACGCCGCGCAGACGCAGAGCTTCAACGCCGCCGTGACCAAATTCCCACACGTGATCGAGCTGTTGCAATATCTGCGCATTGTCTTTGACACCGACGAGGTGCTTGACACTATTCCGCTGGCAGCCGCTTCCAATGCTGGAGCATGGCATGCATGGCAAAGTTTCCGAACCAAGAAGGCAGGTACATCAGTTCGAGGTGCCAAGCCAGCAGGTGAGAGCAGCCAGCCTGGCAACGAGAGGAGCCTATCGCCAAGACAGCAGCCGGGCGGCGCAAGACGTCCTGGGGAATGGAATTGGCAGGGAGTATGGGAAGACCGAGTGAGAAGAAGCGTGCAGAGTACCCAGACGGAGCCGGCACTGTATGGCGGTGACCACAAAGATGTGGTATGTGCGGTGCACCAGCTCCACGAAATCCTCAGCTCACCAGATCACAGATCAGCTTTCAGAAGATGGACGCGGAAGCAGTCAGCCAGATCTCACCCATCCAGCAGGCGTCTTGACGGCAGGAGCTCTTGTTGTACACGTAGACACCAGGTGGCGCCTGTCATGAATATTTTTGGAATTGGTCTTGCCTCGACCTTCATACGCAACAGCAAACAAGTACTCGCTTTGCAAGCTTCGCTCACCACTGTCCAGGCTCACCAGCAAGCACAAAAGCATCATGTCAAACAAGGAGGTGAGTCTGGAGGCCGTTTTGTTTAGACGCCCGCTGACCAATGTCGAGAACCTGCCTCCCAAGAACGAAAAGCCTGGCAACGACAGGTCGACTCCTCCTGGCCACATACCTGCGACTCTTGGTATTGGGAATTGGCAGCATGCCGCCTACAGGTCGGCTCCTTTTGGGCTACTCTCCCCAAACAGCAAGCCCTCACTAGCTCGTCAGCGAGACCACTCGGCCTGTCGTCAAACAGATTCTCCGCTTAGAGTCCGAAAGAGGGGCGAGCGCCTCAAATACTCAAGCATTTACGGAGATGTCGCCCCGCCTTGTATGCACACTTCGCTACACAACCTGGGCAATGCTGTACTACCACCTGTACTAAGCTTCACGAGTGCCACAACTTTGGATAGTGAGCGCAATCTTGGAGGGGAGAATGAGTTCAACATGGACAATGACCTGAGTGGATCTACTCTGTTACCAGAAGCTCGCGGCAATACACAGAATACGCCCCCGCTGCAAATTCCCAGCAAAGTAGCACGACACAAGTCGGTCAGTCGCCGGGTGCTCTCACGTGTCAAAGAAGGCATTGCTGTGCGCTCTCGGAGCTCGAATGGTCACAAAGCTCTGGACCATGACAACAGCCTCATGCGTCGGTTGTCCGGTAGGCGCAAGACTGGTAGTGAACAGCAGCGACAGCTGCAGAGCTTTGAAATCAGTAGGGACAGCATCGACACGGATCCGGACGATGAGTCCGAGTCTTTGACACCACAGCGCTCGTTCACTGGATCCAGCATTGCGACTAACGAGATGATGGTTTCTGGTGTCACACTTACACCTCCCTCGCGGTATATGAACCGCTCTAGAAAGACATCACCTCGTTTCGCATCTCCATCTGCCAATCAATCATCCCCCGTCACTGAACCAACCCCAAGGGCGAGTGCAAGGGGTGACGGAGGGCCTGAGACCTACAAAAAGCCGACCGTTCACTACGTCAGCCCGTACATTGACATGAACATCTTGGTGGACACAGACGCCGTTGACATTGGCACCTCAAAGAACATCTGGGTGGCTGTGGAGGCCACCGTGCGTACACGGGAAGTGGAACCTTACTCCAACAACAGCACTAACAACACCAAGTGGTCCAAGAACTCGATCGACATGATTGTGATTATCTGTTGCGAGACACTCAAAGAATACGCCAGCACGACTCAGCAGTGTATCGTCGAGCTTTGTTCCCGTCTTGAGCACGACGGCGATCGTCTAGCAGTTCTGCTCGCTACTTCGCGTCAACTAAATTCTTGCACAATCAGCTGTACCTGCGCACAGATCCATCCCCTTCAAGCACCGAAAGTCTCAGCTCTACTGGAAAGACTTGGTCTAGCGCCATCAACGGCACGAAGCGATCTGCCGAATGTGGTTGAAGATCAACCCATACAACTAGCATTGAAAGATATTGCGAAGCAAGGTATTCGTCAAAACTGCATCCACAGCTTCGTGCTCTCAAAGTCCCCTGTTTACTTGGCGCAAGCAGTGCAGGAGTCCATGCAGTGGCCGTCTCACACACTGAAGATAGGACTGCAACCTTCAGAACGGCCAGTGGCAGCCACTCACGATGTCCGTACCTGGTCACTGGATATTGCAGGCGAAGGAGAAATTTCGACTCATACTTTAGACAATGTGTGTCGGGATATCAGGCATGGATGTCAATATGGGAGTATACCCAGTCTACGACTGTGCTACAAAGCCATGGATCGTGCTCGAGTCGTCGAAGTTGTGGGCGACAAAGCTACCAAAGGCCTAGTATTGGGACAACGCTGCTCGTTATTCATTAAGGTCTGCTTGCCTAGCATCGATACGCCTCCTAATGCGGCGGCCGAGGGCGATCAGGATTCGCTGTTCACTGAGCTTGAAAGCATTGTTGGGACCCTCGAGACCAACTTCTTGCATGTCGAAGCGCGCTACCGGCACACCATATTTCCAACAGACAACGTCGTTACCGTGCGACAGATTTGCAGCATGCGACGCCCAAAGACAGAGTCTCGATGGAGCCTCGTGACATCAGCCGTCGCTGGCTTGTCTTCCGAACGTGTCAACGCAAAACTTGCTCGCTTTCTGATTACGCACTACTCAGCTGCCAAAGCGCTCAATGCTATCTCACGCTGGGAGCTTACGAAATCGCCAGTCGTGCAGCAGTTGTACGATGACTTGCAAAGTAGCATCGCACCTGCTCGCACCAACCAAGCCCGCGCGGCTCCTGGCCCAGTTGTCGTTGTCACAGATGCAGCTCAAACCGGTACAGATAGATCACACGGCGAACGAACTGTCACACGGACAGCATCCACTACGGCCCTCACTCTTCACCTTCGCCAAGACCACCTGCCCCGTTCCACGTCCACTTCTGCAATGACGGCTTCGCGACTCATCACAGCTCCGGAGGTGACCGGCGCGCCCAGCCATGTCGCATTGGATTTGAGAGGTAGCCGTGAAGGCACACCTAGCGATGCGAATGATACCGCTCACAAACTCTGGCAGCACCTCCGAAGGGACTCACTGCCAATAGACAAGATGCTGATCTCTATGTCCGGCGAGAGTCTTCACCAATTAGAGGCCACTGATGAGGACCTCAAAGCTCTCCGCGAAACGGCGCTTGCCAACAAACGGAGCATCGGTGCTGAGACTTTGAAGGCCTGCAAATGGGACGATAAGCAGACGCACGGTACCGCTCCTTGGCTCTGATCGCGCGTACATAGACGCAACATCCTGTACTAGCACCATCGGATACGGCAGGCATTAATGGAATGCTGCAGCAAGACATCGCATCGCATCGATAGTCATGGGCAGACCCACCGGGACAGGCAGGCGAACAGCGTACTGTAGCCGCATCATGTCCACTCCCGGCATTGGATTCCCCGACAAACATTCACATGGGATTTTGAAATTTGAAATCCTGGCACAGCTGGGCTCATCACTGCATCATGAATAAATTCGCCAACATGCTAGCGATCGATCAATAGAATTCCGGAAGATGTTCCGAGGCAATGTTGCCGCCGCACCGAAGATTTTCCAAGGCTTGTCTCCATAACGTTTCATCGATGGAGCTTGCATTCAGTAGGTTGTACTAGACAACCATTTGCCCTCACCGCACTCAGTCCTCGTTCGTCGTTTCACCGACATCACGCATCCTCATCTCCGTTGCATTGCAGACAGAGTGTGACACAGCAGTCCGTAACACAGTGTCCACTCACCAAATGCAAGGGTCGAAGACGATTCCCGGTAAACTACAAAATCCCGACTTCCAACTTTCTGGCTCTGCGGATACAGTATCGCAAGGCATATGCAAGGCCCACATTCTCAAATGAGTAACCCCATCTTCCTGTCCGACGTGACACGATGTCTGGTCGGAGAGAAAAAAGATCTCGGTGACACGACGTCTGGTCGGAAAGATACATAGAAATTGGAAAACTTCTCCACATGTGTACGCATATGCCATGGTTAACGTTCAACTAGTGGATACATGCAAGGCCTGCAAGCAACCAATCCCCAAACCTAGGATAAAATTCCAAACACTTGGAACCGAAGCTGAGAGAAACCCATAGCACAGATCCCCAAGTTTTCACAACCATGTTGTCTGACCGACAAGCATCCAGCGTTTCTCCTTGACATTGCATTCTCGTCTCGCGTGACCCAATAAGCCAGGACTGAAGTCGGTGCGGCGTACTGCTGCAACTGATCCCAGTGCGCGGAAAACATACCACATTCTTTCCAAATCATCGTTAATGATCTCCGCATGCTGCCCTGGTTCAGAGCTAGACATGCAAGTCCGCGACACCTCCTAGCCGCCGCGCGCTTGTGTCGGATGTAAATTCCTGACCATGTCGCACCAATGCTACACTTCTTTCCGACCCTGGTGGTTTAGTGCTAGCTAGCGCAATGGAGACGGTTACTACTTATCCGCGTGTGTGTGTGATGAGTCTGATACACATCCGGGATCCGACAGGACAAAATAGCCGCGCGCGGCGGTGGGGGAAAGAAATGGATTCAAATAGATAGGTCACATGGATTTTGAGGGGAAACTGTTGTAAATCCTACACAAACCAACGTCGTCGCCTCGAGCGGAAAGGAGATCTGAGAAGTTTCCACGACATTACCGAATAACCGCCTGTGTTCCGGCCCAGAGCCGCCCGGGACGGCAAACGACGTACGCAATACCAGGTTCATGGAGCAGCGTAGACGCCACCGCCGCTGCCTTCGACGCAGTGTCAACTCGCACGACGTTTTTCGATAACCCGGATACGCTGTGTGCGGCGGAAAGACGGTTCGCAGTGCCGGAATAGTGTCGCACGAGCGACACAGAAAGAGCGACATGGACCATACTTTTGCGGTCAGAAATGCCATGTGACGAGATCAACCACGGAAGCTACGCGCGTGCAATCGGATTGATGCCAAAATGTTCGATTGCGCGCCCGATGCGAGACAACGCAAGACAAGACAAGGACAAGCATCGCAACGAGGGCAAGAGAAGCGGTCTGTACGTCGATCGGACGTTGGCGTCGTACATGAAGAGCTCGTTGCGCACTTGTCTTCCATTCTCTAGCGCTTGTTACGTGATGAGATCACACGATGTGCGAGTTCGGTGAGCGTTGTACGAGATTCGTTGCCTCTTCCGTGCCGCGGACTGTCGATGAGGTGGCACTAGAGGAGCGGTCTGCGGTGGACCGGCGGGTGTCGGCGGTGACGCCTGAAGCCGGCGGATGGCTGCTTGCGCTGAGAGCATCATTTCGGGTTGAGGATGCACAGCAGAGCAGGTGACCAGGAATGACTGCTACTGAATGAGCTGCGGCCTCTTGTGCAATGGCGCGACGATGGTCGTGTCATTTTTTGAGGTCGGCAGTTGCATCGACTCGCATGTGCGCCACACGCATGACACCTAGTTGCAGTGGAGAGCGGCGTTCCGACGGTCTCTCAATCGGTCTTCTTCGCTCCAATGGCTTCCAGTCCCTCGGGCATGTATCTCCTCAAGACCTCTGGTATGATGACGGCTCTCTTTTCTTCCTCCCAATGGTTCTCAAGTATGCAAGCCAGTACTCTCGGAATTGCCATCGCAGTCCCATTGACGGTATGTGGCCACGAAAGCTTGCCATCGAGCTTCGCCCTAGTTCCGAGTCGTCTTGACTGATAATCCGTGCATATTGAAGCAGACGTGACCTCTCCATAGCCTTCGTTTATTCCTCCTCGCGAAGGAAAGAACGCTTCAATATCAATCTTCCTCGTGGCGCTTGCCCCCAGATCCGCAGTAGGCATCTCGAGAACCTTTGCGTGCAGGCCGAGAGAAGTCAAGATCTCCGTCTGACTCTCTAACATTTCCTCAAAGACCTCTTCTGCCTCTGATATCTCCACGTCCCCAAAGCGGTCTGCCTCGTGATCCTTGGGTGGTAAAGTCCAGGCAAACATCTCGACCTTCGTGAATTCGTGTACGCGATACAAACCTTTCGTATCAACGCCTCTCGCGCCGGCTTCAGCACGATAGCAACGTGAAGGACCAATGACTTTTAGCGGGAGGTCTTCCGCACGTATTGTCCTGTTTGCCTGAGATCCAGCGAAAGGGATTTCTGCCGTACCGGCCAATACCAGACTTGGCTTGTCCTCACTCTTGCTTTGTCCATGCCCATGCTGCTCGATGTTATAAATTTGCGTCTCGCCATTCTGGTCCCTCGGCATGAATCCACAAGCACTGGCAATATGCGAATATACCAGACTTGGAGGCGTCATAACTCTCCAGCCCCGTTTCATAGCGACTGACAAGGCATACTGAATCAGAGCCTGCTCCAGCAATGCGGCTTCGTTCTTGAGGAAATACCATCCCCATCCGCTCGTCGTCGCACTGGCCTCGAAATCCAGAATATCAAGCTCTTTGCCAATGTCCACGTGGCTTTTACCTCTAGGATTCCCTGATTTCTTCTCCCCAATGACACCACGGAGTCGCGGTTCCTCTCCCACGGGCGTATCCAAAGAGCTCAAATTTGGCAGTTCCAACGCCAATCTCTCCATCTCTTCTTGCATGGCCTTCTCATCCACCTCATGGCTTGCCAGCTTCGCTTTCAATGCCTTCGCCTCTTCAAGCAGGGCTTTCCTTCCAGCTTCATCTCCGCCTTGCGCAGCATGTCGTCCAAGTTCTTTCCCAATGGCATTATTCCTTTGTCGCGAAGTCACAATTTCATCTTGCTGTTTCCTCAACTTCTCGTGCAATTCCAATGTCCGCCAGCCATTCTTGGCGAAAGGCGCATAGTTGCGATCAATGCAATTCTGCTCGTAAAGTCCGGGGTTGTTGCGGATGTGCTTGATGTCGAGCGTTGGCTTGGGAGCGAAGGACGGCCGGGTATATGCTCTGCGAGCCGTAGTTTGGCGAACACTTTTCCTCAACAAGTCGCGGCGACAGCGCGCGCAGATATATGGCACCGACATTGGTGTCGATGCTAGAGAGAGCTGCAAGACGGAAGTCCGTGATGATCGGCACGACCTTCCTCTTCCAACGCGAACTTCAGCGCGCGATCACGAGACCATAAATTCGCGAGAGGCAGATAGACATAAGTTGACGGTATTCAAAGCCATTGGACATACAGACGCCGTCTACCTTCATACCTTCTAACACCTTCTCCAAAGGAGCTCCGTACGTCTCCATCAAAAAGCACCCAGGGTATCGTGTGCTGCACTTCAAAGCAGAGCAGCGGCAAGCGATAAAACATATTTCCGTAGTGTATGCATTCTTCCTCGATATCGTGTCAATTCGTTGTTGGCATCCTCCGTCTTTTCTACACACATCATAGCCATCCATTTCCGCTGCCCACTCACTGAACCTGCATTACGGGCTGTTTGTCTCACGATCGTTGACTGAAGAACCAGCTGCTGCGCTTGCCGCCGCTGCCCTCTGAGTTCGCTTGCTGAAGACCGGCATATGTGGGCGCGAGGCTTGGTCCGTCTCCGCCGCCGCCACCGCCCCTCAGAGGCTTGGCTATCCGGCCGAATGGGTTGTTCGCGAAATTTGAGGGGGCAGGTGAGTTGGGCAGGCCACGAGTTGAGCCGGATTTGGCAGCTTCGAGGCGTTCTTTGACAGCCATGAGTTGCGATTCAAACCTAGAAAATGTCAGCAAATAATCGACCTCACTGTCCGAGGAATTAACGTACTTGTGGTTAGCAAGCATGAGCTTCTCCTGGCTCTCCTGGACGAGACCCTCCAGACCACGAATACGCTCACCACGAGCGACCAATTTACGCTCAGCAATGGCGACTTCCTTCTTGAGCTGTGTGTTCTGCTCTACAAGTTGTCGCTGCACGATCGTCAATTGTTCCAAGTTGCGCTCGAGGAACGCCAGCTTCTTTTGCTGTGCCTTGGAGTTGCTGCTTCGCAGAATCGAGTTGTACTGCTCGCGTGTGCTGTCCAAGCTTATCTCCAACTCAACAACACGCTCGCAGCGGTTCTGCAGATCTCGCATAAGGGACTTCTTGATGGCATCGAAGTCTGCAAGCTGCTTGCCTAGAGTGGTGCCGTTGGCACCATTCAGAGCCTGCTTGCGCAGAGCTTCCACTTCGTTGCGAAGGCGGGTGTTCTCTTCTTGTTGGCGAGACAGCATCTCATGTGCTTCTGCGGATTGAGCGCCACCATTCTGCTCGGCCAATCTCTTGGAGTATTTCTCCTTGAGCTCCTCGACATCAGCCTCGGACAAGTTGCGCTCGAGCAAGTCCTGGTGCTCGCGATGAAGCTGGGAAAGCTTCTGTTCGAGGACGGCCATCTGCGCGCTGTCCGCGTGACCATTGGCGCTGATATCTGCCTGTCGGATTTGGCCTTGTAGCTCGAGTAGCTTGTCCTTGAGGCTGTGAAATTGATCTGCGGCGACACTTTCTCCGCTGTCAGCAATCTCGAGCAGGCTTTGCACTTGCTGAACCATCTCCGCAACAGCCATCTCATTCTGCGACATAAGACCCTCCCCAAGGTCAAAAGTGGCCATCATTTGCGCCATGCGCTCCTTCTTGAGTCTCTCCTTCTCATCCAGCAGAGCAGAAGACTCCTTAGCAGACATTCGTGCATCGAGAAGCTCAGACTTGAGGCTGTCCAGTTCTGCCGTGAGCTCTGCATTGGCATCCCGTAACGAGTCCATGGTTATGCTAGCCTCCTTGGTCTCGAAATCGATCCTTTCGATATCTCTCTTCTGAGTTTCCACTTCCGCCGAGAGTTTCTCGTTGCTACGCTGAAGCTCTGATTGGGATGCTCGGATTTCCTTGAGCTGTTCTTGCGCAGATCGCGCAGCTTGCTGAGCAGCCTCTAATTCACGCTCCTTCTCGGCAAGCTGGTCTTGCAGATCGTTCTCGCGCTTCAAAAACTCTTCACGCTCGTCCTTCTCGAGCACCAAGCTAGGTGTCCCTGCTCGTTCGAGCTCGGCTCGACTCTCAGGTCTGGGAGTACCAAAACCATCCTGGCTCTTCACCCTGCTAGTAGGAGTTTGCGAGCGCGGAGGCGCTTCAGCGACGAAACCAGCACCAAGTGGCTGGATCCATTTCTCCTTTGGCACAGGTTCTCCTTTCCTCCATTGAACAACCTCGCCCTCCAATGATTGAATATATGCAGTGAAAGTGGTGACCTGGGATTGCGTCTTCTTGAGCATGGCCTTGAGCTGAGCCGGAGAAAGTTCTTCGTTGATCTTGGCCTTCTGTTTGATCGTTTTGGCACGCTCACCAAATCGCATTGTTCCAATGGTTTCCGCGTCGTTGTAGGACATGGGCGAGGCATTGATGATGAGTGTCGTTCGAGAGTTACCACCGAGCGACTCTTGCAGAATTCTCGTAAGCTTACTGTCACGGTAAGGGATGTGCTGGCTCTTTCCTTCAGCGAGCGCGTTAATGACCATTCCAAGTGCAGAGAGCGATTTGTTGATCTTCTTTGCCTCTTCCAGTGTCTGACCACTTGCACCTGTCTTTCCCACCTTTTCCGAACCTGCCAGATCTACCAGGTACAGGCGACCAGACCGTGCGGATCCTGTTTCGACGTTCTTCTGCGTAACCTCGATCACGAAAATCGAGTGTGATCGCGAAGACTCCTGGTTCATGTTCGTTGATGCGACCGCACGAGCCTGTCCACCTCTCTCCAGAACAGTGTACACTTCGTCCACGGACCCGACGTAGAACTCGTGCAAGCCCTTGACGTATATGCCCTTTTGCTTGTCTTCGTGCACAGGCAAGTTATCGTTCTGCGGCACCAGCAGATCGCGAATCTTCTCCATGTAGATTTCCATGTAACTGGTCTTGACCGTGAACTCAATTGTGCTGTCACTCTCCATGATCTTGGTGAAGATCTGCTCCACGATGCGCGGAATAATACCCTTGGTGTCTGGATCATGCAAGTCCCCAGCGCCCATCATGGTATACGTCTTTCCGGATCCCGTCTGACCGTACGCGAATACTGTGCCATTGTAGCCAGCCAGTACATCGTCCACCGTGCTCTTGATCGAGTAGTCGAAGATCTCATGCTGGGCAGTGCCGACAGGGAAAACGCGATCGAAGGTGTAGGTCGGCTTGCCGCTGGCTTCCTGGGAGTCGATTGTCACTGAGTCCTCGCTAGGGAATTCGACAATGGACACAGCCTGATTGCTCTGCTCGACTTTGTTGGCGGGCCGAAAGCGGGCGACCACCTTGATCGTGTTGGACGTGGAAGACATGGTGGGTGTTCCGGACGCGCCTCGAGCGCGTTGTCGCCGTCGATCGTGTCCGTAGTGCTGTCAGGCACCAATCTGCGCGTCTCGAACAGACCGCCTCGTGCCTCGTCTCCCTGCCCCCACACGTTCAATTCGTGCCTCGTTCGTCCCCCGCTGAACCCTCCACGGCGCCAGAGGAGTTGTCCGTATCGATACTGAATGCGCGAGACCCAGAGACCGGCTCGTGCGACCCTCCAGAGGTGAGGTTGGTGTGCGGAATAGGCGTGGTCGACTGGCCCGCAGGAGAGCGTGAGCAGCGTGCTGGTATGTTTCACCACAGGATCAACAAGGAGACGCCCGACGGGGCTTTCCCGCGCGCTATCGCACGTGCGCAGCACTCGAAGGCTCAACTTGGCTCCAGCACGGTCGCATTCACTGTCTTCGACGCCTGACGACAGATTTCGTGAGCAGGCAATCCAATACTTTTGTTGGCTACAGTCTGCTGAAACAGTGCAGTCATCGTTGAGCCATCGGGAGGCAACCTTGCACATCTCCAACCTTAAACTAATGCATAGACCCTGGTAACCACCAGTGACCTGCAGGTACACAGATGATATGAGCAGGCGGCAGCATCCTGCCATGATTCAAACTGGGTCTCAACGATGGCATTCAAGGCATAGCTTCGTTATACATGGCTGACACTATCTGCGAAAGTCAACTACAGCTCATCTGCATCGACTATCTGGACGACCATGGCGCTAGCCGCTCCTCCACCGTTGCAAATGGCTGCGCAACCGTACTCGCCCTTCTTCAGCTGGTGCAGCAAGGTGACCATGATTCTTGATCCGGAGCTGCCGAGTGCGTGGCCGAGCGAGATGGCACCACCGCGAGGATTGACATTATCGGAACCGAGTCCAAGAATCTATATCTCAGTCAGTACGCCGAACGAGAAAGGTCTCCAACCAAGACTCACCTTAGCATTCGCCTTAATCACCGCCGCGAAAGCCTCGTTGAACTCCCACACCTTGACCTGCTCTTTCGTGATACCGGCGCGCTCGAGCACAATCGGAACGACCTTCGCAGGGGCAATTGGGAAATCGATGGGGTCCACAGCGGCGTCTGCGTATGCCACAATCTTCGCAAGCACTCTCTTCCCCTTGCCGTATTGCTTCGCCAGCTCCTTGTTTGCCACGATCAACGCTGAAGCTCCATCGTTCATACTTGAGCTGTTTGCCGCAGTAACAGTTCCCTTACCACTGCGATCAAATGCTGGCTTCAGAGTAGCAACCTTGTCCAGCTTTAACCTCCCGTATCCCTCATCTTCTGAGATCACAGTATCGCCCTTCTTGCCCTTCACTGTCACCGGCACGACCTCATCCTTGAAGAGCCCCGCCTTCCACGCCTCACCTGCCCGCTTAAAGCTCTCGATCGCATACTCGTCCTGCTGTTCCCGGCTAATTTCATATTTCTTCGCCGTGTTTTCCGCGCAGTTGCCCATGTGAATCTGATTGTAAACATCCCACAATCCGTCCTTAATCAAGCCATCCTCAGCCGTGACATTTCCAAAAGCCGGTAATTGTGGTCCTCGAGCAGTATAGTATGGTACTCTTGACATGTTCTCCATTCCACCTGCGACAACAGCCTCCTCTTGCCCCAGCTCAATTTGCTGCGCTGCGATCGACACAGCTTTCAGTCCCGAAGCGCACACTTTGTTGATCGTTGTTGCTTCTACCGAAGGTGACAAGCCAGCGAATATGGTGGCTTGACGAGCGGGTGCTTGGCCGACAGCAGCCTGCATAACGTTGCCCATGTATACGGACGTGATCTTTTCGGCGGGGACATCGGATCGTTTCAAGGCTTCCTTGATTGCTGTCGCGCCTAGTTCAGGTGCAGAGACGGACGAGAAAGAGCCATTGAAGAGTGCAGTTGGCGTTCGGACCGCGGAAAGAATATAGGCGTCTTGGATTTCTTTCGGTCGTCGCGTGGAAACGCTGAATTGCCGTTGGACGGCCTGTAGTCGTTGTGCTGGAGTCGAGGACATTGTGGCGGATCTGCTGGACAGAGTCTGGAGGGAACGGCGGAGGAGAGGTGAAGACATTGTGAACGAAGAGGGAAAGGGAGAAAGTGCTGGCGAGGCTTGCTGCTACTACCTAGGCTATTTCGCAGGATCGACGCAGAACAGAGCAGAGGAGGCTGCAGAAGGTTGACAAGCTATACTGGAATGGTTAGCCACGGGTCAAAGGTCAAGTGAGTTTGCGGAAGCGTCATGGCCGAGGTTGCGCGGACGCGATCCGCGTTTGTGAGTGCACAGACATGCCTGTGAAAGGACTTGGCTTTTTCGGAAGCGATTCGGAAGCGACATGAGATGGACGACATGAGGAGACAGTTGTGATCGAAGTCCACCTGAGTTGCTTGACCGATTCATCGCTATGGCTTGATTAGTTACAATGCCATATCTTCGTCCGAAAGTCTACAAACCCGCGACCTGCTGACATGTGATCATTAATTCATCGGGACTTCATTTGTGCATGCGTGATGGTGGATGCCTCCTTCACATCCATTCACTTCATCACTTGCCTCAGAGATCCTCTCCAGTGCGATCGATCCTCTTCTCCCTGTCCCAGACCATGGCATGACCTCTTACTCGTCGAATGATCCAGATGCGATGCTCCGGGATGAAGTCCTCTTCCTCCGTATGCGTCTGCCATTGATCTAGCCGCTTCCACATCATTCCATCAAAGCGATCCACGTATCCGATTTCATACTCAATGGCTTGATGTTTGCGATCCCATTTAAGGCGCTGCATCGCCTGGCTAGCAGAGCGGAAACGGTCCGACGGAGCGTCACTCGGTGGAGGACCTTGACTCGGTCCTTTGATAGAAGGTGCTTCGTCGTCGCTTGTGGCTGTTGGATCATCCCCGCCTCTCATCAATCGCCGCATTGCAGCTTCCGCCTTCAGTTGCTCTCTGGCAAGTGTCCTGAAGCTATCGGGACGTCTGTCCTGCGGGATAGGTTCTGTTCTAGCCGCTACTTCAGCTGGGCCAGCGATTGTTGGCGTCATTCCTACCGGCGTTGACGGTCTCGCCGGGTTAGCTCGCTTGTCCTCATCCGCTTCCATCAGAAACTCCTCCATGGTGTCGCTTAAGTCCAAGTTGATGGTTGCCATGCGTTCCTCGCCCAATATCGCCTTGAAGTCCATACCCTCCTTGCGACCGGGTTGGACATCAAGCTCGGATCGGCCGAATAGTCCTTCCTGTGAGTAGAGTTTGATCTCTAGACTGGCCTCTGCACTTTTCAATACTGGGTGATTCATACAAGCGTCATTCAGTCGTTGTATCGCTTTATCGTTCAGAATGGTGCTCAGAGAACCGCGGAAACCTCTGCGGCTGTTGAGGACATCTCCGTCGATTCCAATGAAAGAGACCCAGCCCTCGTCCTCGGGTACATCCTGTGGCAAGACCATGTTGAATGGCCAGATATGAGAAATGATGGGGGCCTGGAAGATGTCCATCAATTCGTCCTGTATCAGTAACAAAACTCTGCTTCAAGTCAGCGGAGGGTACGCCTTTTGCCATGACCACAGACTTACTGATAGAACTGCATTTCAAGCCTCTCGCCGGTTGTATAATTCCAGTAGCGTAGGATGATCTTGAGGTACATGCTGTAAGCCCTTCGAAACAACCCAAAACCTTCTCGGGTACCCCGGGCGACCGTGTCCACAGATGTCATATCTTCTGTGATAGCTCGCTTGATGCTATGGGTTGCTACAGGGGAGCTGTCCTTACTAGTGGAGGAACACCCTAGAATGCGTCCTGAAGGGGTTGGCACGAACAGCTGGGCCGACTTTGTGTTCACACCGAGGACGAGTGGGTACATGCATCTTTCAAGCAGCTTCGCGAACGTTGGCTTGACCATGTACTTCCGGATGTCCAGCTCTGCATGGCCTGTTTACGGTCAGCTAATTACCGCCGGGTCGCGTGCACATGACAAGCTATGTCTCGAGAAAGGACTTACCACGATCAACACAGAACAGGACCATCTCGCTTGTTAGCAATTGGAGGCGCGGGCAGAGTATACCCCGGTAGAAAGCCCACATCATGAGTTGGTGAACGCAAGCACGATATTCTGCAGAGCTCGGCGCATGGGGTCGCGTTGGATCTGCGGTAACATCCAGTCCACGAACCTTCTTGATCATGTATCTGGTATCGTGCAGCTGCGCCAGCAAATCTGTGTTGAAAGGCCAGTCGGCCAGGGGGATATTTTCAGGCGCAGAAAGGTATTGGCTATATTCGTGAGTGATTCTGCAGTAGTGAAGCTCGCAAATAATGCGACATTCCTCGTCTTTCTTCTGTGGCAGAGGGTTCTCGAGCTCGATGAGCAGGTGCTCATCGTCATCTACTCACTATTAGTTCTAGATCACCTCAGATAGAGATGGCGATGGAAGCCAGTCCCATCCACGTTGACCGACCTGTAGGAGGTGTTGCGAGATCTATGCCCAGCTTCTCCACGGCATATTCGAAAAACGTTTTCGCGCTCATGGTTGCCACCGCGATTAGACTGTAAGTCTCCACTGGCGGAACGATGCCTATCGCGTGTGGTAATGACATGTAGAGATATTTGTCGGTTGGTAGACTCGGTTTCGGCTGCTGCATTGGTTTCGTCGAGCCTAGAGGGTATGAGAGATAAGTGCAGTCAAGCCTCTTCGCAAAAGCGCGAACGTGCAATTCGAGTCCGACCCAATACTGATCGTTATCTTGAAGCACCGCCATGGTTTCGGACGTATTCTGTGTAGTTCCGAGAAGTGTGCTGATGCTTGCAAATGATGGCACAGTGGCCGATGTGTTGAACCTTTGTGCTGAGTATCTGAGAAGGGAGAAATCTGACTCACTGTCAAGGCTGCTGCTACTCTCAGCCTTCGTGGGTGCCTATGGAAAGTGTAAAACCATCGCACTTTCTTGAGTACAAGTCAATGCGGTTGCGGTGTCTCGAAGAAGGTGCAGTTGAGAGGCGAAGTCGAAGGAGGCTGAGTCATCCCGAACTCTCCTGCTTCCACACACGCATATCACGACGCCCGTCTCTATACTCAACACACCAGCTCGAGATCATCGCTTGACGAGATGTGAAGTGACTGCATGAAGACTTGGAAGACGAGATTCTTACATCTCGATGGAGAAGACGTTCACCACTCGGCGCTACTGCACCCAATTCGTATCGCTTCACACTGCTTGCACCTATTTTCAACCCGCCCAGAGTTTTAGTCTCCCCTCGCCCATTTGCTTCGATGCATTTAAGTGGGTCGATTTTCCCATCTTAGAAGGACAGTGGCTTCTTGGCAGAAGTTGGACTATGGAGACAATGATCCTGCAGGATTATATGTTTCTTCCTTCGCTGTTCAAGAAAGGATCACGTACTAGTCGCAAGCGAGAGATGTATGGCAGTGTGGCAGTATTTATGTCTCTGTAGATCGTCCCCTTCGTTCGTGTGGTCTTTCGAAGCATATTCTATAGCCACTCAAAGGGTCTAGACAAATATGCCTACCCCACATCCCCTCGTCGGCCTGATCGCTGGCTCGTCACTTGTAACCATCGCTATGGCGCAAACTTTCTCACAATCCAAGACCTTCACATTCACAGGCAGCGCCCTCCCGCCCGAGTTGACGCCTTCGACATGGCCAGTGTACGAAGAGTCCAATCCGAACGCAAAGTACGATCGCATATTCGAGGAAAAGAATGTTATCGTTCGAGACGGCTTTCTCGAACTTCGCGTTCCAGGAGGACAGAAACCGACAGATGGAGGGAGAGGACCGATTAGTTGTGCAGAAGTGGGGACAACGTTTGAAGTCAAATATGCTTCCGTGAAGACGTACGCGATCTTGAGTGAGGAGCCGGGTGTGTGTAATGGTAGGTGACTTCGTTCATCGACGACCCGCATGATGCGTTGCGTGTATGCGTTGAGGATGGGCTTGTTACTCTTGCTGAATCATCGAAACAGGAATGTTCATGTACAAAGACTACAACCAAGAGACCGACATCGAATGGATTAGTGACTCAGAATCATTCGCAAACCAGCAGTTCAGCTCCAATGGGTCGAGGGTTCTCCTGTATACGAATCAAGGACCGAGTGGTAACACTGATGCATTGACCGTCTCTGGAAGAGCGCCGGCAGATGCTACATCGGCAGTGCACGAGTATCGCTTGGATTGGACAGAAGATGCCGTGGAGTTCTATTTGGATGGCGTGAAACAGCAAACGCTTACGGACTATGTGCCGACGGTCGGTGGCAGTTGGCTGTGGAATTCCTGGGTGTGAGTAGATTTCATTTCTCGTATGGTGAGGGCGTTGAAGCTGATGCTGATGATTGTGGCTGCAGGAACGGCGACCCTTACTTCACAGCTGGACCGCCCGTGAATGACGCAGTTTTCAAGATCCTGCGCATAGAGATGGACTATAATCCCGCCTAACTAGTGTCTCCTCGTGTTCGGGCGCAAAGAGCAGCAGCTGATCAGGGGCAGGGCAATGGAGTGGTGGCAGCCACAGCCGGGGTCGGCACATCTTGAGTCATTGCGCATGCCGGGTAGTATAGAGTTTGGATAGAGAGATTGGCTGAGATAAGATGCCGGCATACAGCCGCATTTCGGTGTTGGTTCCAATGCCTGTCGACAGATCCTGCGTGCTGGTGGAGGTCGAATGGCGTGAATGGCAGTGCGTGTTGGAGCGGTGGTGGTCCTGGCGGTGGGAGGATGACGGTCGGCGTCGAGATTCGTCAGGATGTGGCAGTGGGAAGGATTGCACGGGCTGAAGTTTGGGCAGTTGGGACGGCGGGAGAAGGCGCGCTAGAAGGGCGGGAGAACACGAGCGGTCCCCGAGCTACAGTATGGCCCCGCCATCATCGTGAGTGCGTGCTGTGGTGTGCTGTGTGCTGTGCTGCGAGTCTGCCGTCAGAGCGCAAGCGCGAATGAAGAAACGAACGCTGCTACACCCTGCGTTTGCTCTACTGCGTGCCCCTCCGCCCACCTTTTCTCACCGCGCACCGCGCACCGCCCACTGTCCGCACCGCCAGTCGCCGTTCAATGGCGTGCTGAAGCGAGATCTGCATTCCGCGCTCAGCACGCGCGCGTTTGATCGACCACACGCGATACGCCTGACGCCACGACGACGACGTACAACCCCGAAACTGCCCGTCTGCCACGCCGGGCACGTGGCTCGACGAGGCAGCGCACGACGGCACATCTGATGGACGTACGCTCGTGAGAGAAGCTGCAAGGAACATCGCTCCATCATGCGTCGCCATTCCATGAGGACTGGTCCTGCCTTGCGCGCGGCCGCAACGCCTCCCCCAGACGCATTGAGCTTGATCCAGAGCTACGATTCCGACCTCAACCCCTCCAGACCCGTCAAATCTTCTGCCCTCGGCGTGTCCATCGATACCGGCCTTCCTCTCGAGCTGCTTGACCGCCTCAAGGCTTTTCCGCTGTTCCAGAGTGCACCCGAATCATTCCTACTATCCATTGGGCGGAGTCTGCGTCCGAACATCTACCAGCCTGCACAAGAAATCATTCGAGAGGGCGAAGATGCCAAGGCAATGTACTGGCTGGTGCGTGGTTCCGTCCGCGTTACCAGCAGAGATGGAGAGAGCACCTATGCCGAACTGAAGCCGGGATCTTTCTTTGGCGAAATTGGTATTCTCATGGACATGCCACGCACCGCAAGCATCGTTGCCAATATACGCAGTTTGGTCGTGCGATTGAACAAGGAAGACTTGCAGAAAGAGCTCCCATCCTACCCGGAAGTAGAAAGGGCTATCAGAGATGAAGCTCTGGAGAGGCTGGCTATATTGGAGCGTAAAAAGAAAGAGCGAGTGCAACCCACACATGCAGGCGAGGAAGGGAGTATGAGGCCTCCAGCCGCGCCACGGAAACGTTCTCGCGACTGGATGGCAGGAGACGTAGAGATGGGTGAAGCCGGGTCCCTTGAGAATGGAGAAGTCACAAGCAACAAGAAACGGAAGTCGCCCTCGCCGAGCATTGCAGAAGTGGCTGCATCCAGTGCCCTCGGCACCTCTTCTCTCACCGTTCGCCAGCTGCTAAAAGAGCTACCCTTGTTCTACGGACTTCCTTCGGACATACTGCACTTTTTAGGCGTCAATGCCCAGCCAGTCTCGTATCCACCCTTTACCGAGATCGTCAGACAAGAGACTACCGGAAGGGAGGTCTATTTCATCGTCCGAGGGGACGTCGAAGTCATCACGTCGCCTCAGGGGCCTGGCAAGTCTGTACAGCAAGGCGATGCCACTGATGTGCAGCCCAATGGCCATACCATTGATGGAGGAGTGCAGGTCCGGGCTCGATTAGGAGCTGGCCAGTATTTTGGTGAGGTGACAAGTTTGAGCCTCGCTCCAAGGAGGACAGCAACAGTGCGAAGTGTGAACTATGTGGAATGCTTGCTGATTACCGGCGAAGTATTGGATGAGTTGTGGCAACGATGCAGCTCAGAGGTTCGCCAACAAGTCGAAGCTGAAGCTCGAAGACGACTCAAGGCGTCAACGAAGAAGGACGACGACGTGGTCATGTCGGATGCAGGTGGCTCAGCCGGCGGAGGTGTCAGTACAGCAGGGCTGGTGAAGGATTCCGCTACTGATGGCGACGATGATGACTGGCGAAAGGAGTTGCCTTCCGTCAAATTTGATGCACCATTGCCCATTGTGGGCTCCGAGCACACCTCACCTGCGCTGACTCCGAACATGGAACCCGTCGATCCGGATCCCTTCTTCAACGAAAATCTGGATAACATGAGAGCAAAGTCTCGCAGATCATCGCTCGCGCCGCCAATTCCGCCCGCGGATGGTCAAAGTGCCGGTTTGAATGAGCATCGAACTCCTAGCCCGCCGGCAGTCCGAGTCACGAATCCTTCCCCGCTGAAACCCATGGCGGCACATAGGATGTCTCCGTCGGGATCAACTACACCAGGTTCCCCGAATTCACCTTTGCGGCTTAGCCCGACAGCGACAAGAAGGCCAAGCTTGGTTCGGAAACCGTCCCATTCAGGAAAGGGCAAACTTCCAGACAAGGTCTTAACACATATCTTCGAGCACCTTGATCTTCTGAGCGTGATGAGGTGTAGGCAGGTCAGCATGCACTGGGCGCATCTCATTCAGACGTCCCCAGAGGTGCTCAATGAGCTCAATCTATCAATGTACAACAAACATGTGACAGATGAGGTGTTGCGTAACATCCTTGTGCCACTTGTCGGGGGACGAGCGCGCGAGGTGGATCTGTCCAACTGCTTTCACGTCACAGATGAAGGCTTCAAGGCGCTCGTAGACTCTTGCGCTCCTGTGGTCCAGGTCTGGAAGATGAAGTCGGTGTGGGATGTGACTGCGGGCGCCGTCCTAGCACTTGTCGACAGAGCCAAGAGTCTCGAGGAGATTGACTTGAGCAATTGCCGAAAAGTGGGTGATACACTGCTTGCCAGAGTTGTGGGGTGGGTGGTACCTGAGCAGAAGCCTGGGCTTCAACAACCTCCCCCTCCTCCACAGCCACAAAATGGCAAGAGAGGCATCGTGCGGAGACATGCACAAGCGCTACAGCTACCAGACTTTTCCCAATCGCAGCCCGCTGCAGGTACGGTCATAGGCGCACCCAAGCTCAAAAGACTGACATTGTCCTACTGCAAGCACGTGCAAGACCGCAGCATGGCACACATTGCGGTGCACGCGGCGGATCGTCTTGAAAGTCTCGACTTGACGCGATGCACCAGCATATCGGACAATGGCTTCCATTCTTGGAGCGTATACGACTTCCGCAATCTTCGCAAACTCATCTTGGCGGACTGCACTTACCTTAGCGATCAAGCCATTGTAGGCGTTGTTGGTGGCTGTAGGGCGCTTCGCGAATTGGACCTTTCCTTTTGCTGTGCCCTCTCCGACACAGCGACGGAAGTACTCGCTCTGGGCCTTCCCGCTCTTCGAAGACTCGACATGGCGTTTTGCGGTTCAGCAGTCAGTGACAATAGTCTGCGTTGCATTGGACTACATCTTCTGGAACTACGCTATCTAAGTGTCAGAGGCTGCGTCCGTGTCACAGGCCAAGGAGTCGAGGCTGTAGTGGAAGGCTGCAGATACTTGGAAAACTTCGATGTCAGTCAGTGCAAGAACTTACGGCCTTGGCTCGAGCGAGGAGGTATTGGAAGAGTGAACGGTCCGCCGCTGAATCGCAACGTAAGATTCGAAATCGTGGCCGATGGATCGTGGAGAGGTGGATACCGATGAGCTGGTGCGAGGGAATTGAGACGGCCGATGACATACTTCGACGGAATGCAAGGCTTGTTACGGTATAGGACGACACAGCGACGAACTCGAGGGCTAAACGACAACAACTACTACTTTTGGCAATCAAAAAAAGGAAGAGCGAGGCGTTGTGGCGCAGGCACCCCAAAAGATGTCCTTTGGCGATGAAAGGGAAGACGTCTGATGTTGAGAACGGCTGCGAGCTGCGATCTCTTTGATATGTAGGAGGATGACATGTAGAAAGTGAGCTTATGCCGGCGATCTAAGGTGGACAGGTATGATCCTGCTCAGATCATGCGCCATATGGGAATGATGAAGAATTTGATACCCAAAATTCAAACTTGACTTTTCTTCATCTTCGTCGACTGCTGTTTGAACCGTTTCGTCCTTTTTTTTGAAATAATGCCAAATCGGGTGGGTTGAGTTATGACATTGCTCTGCTTACCATTACACAATATGCTCACATGCGAGCGCGACGATGCCAGAAGGAAGTACTTTGGAATCGCATCTAATTTTGCAATGTTCTTGTGTCGTTCTCAACAAATATGTGCTGTGCGAACCATCGCTATGTCTAATCAATGCAAATGCAATTGCTACTCGCTAGATGCAAAAACTCCAATCATGCAATGCATATTCCACTCTGTGGCCTTGCAGCTGCGAGACTTCTCGTCTGTCTTGCGCTCTTGTTTCCTCGTTGGTTGCTCAGACTCGACAAACTACTCGTAGTAATAGCAGAACGGGCTTCCGTTCATCGTGTCGACCAGTTCTCGGATCTTGTACCCTTGTCCATCGGCACCCTTGCCGACCCCGAACCCATCGTTCACACCCAGGTCGACGCGGTCATCTAACGAAGCGTCCCTGCTCGGTGGCATGTTGTTCGTTGTGGTCGTGTTGCCAATGACATATAATCTGTCCTTCTCATTGCCTTCGATTCCATTGAATTTCCAGCTGTCTTCGGGGTAGTTTTGCCAGATCCACCATACGCGGTCAACTTGGGCGTGTTGGATCCAAAAGTATGGGTCGCCGGGGGAGGCGAAGAGGTCTCCGCCTGGGTCGCCGCCCACAACGAAGTGACCGGCTGTGTGTGCGCCAAGGAAACCTTCAGAGAAGTTGCCTTGGAAGATACTCTGGAAGGGGCCGATTTGATCGTTGTTTGCGATGAGCGCTGTGGTATTTGGGTCGCGCAGCCATGTTTCGGCTGCGTAACTGCCCAAATCTCGACGCAGGCAGCGTGGGTTATAGCCCAGGCCATTTGGAAGAGGGTTCGCTGGGATATAAGAGAGCGCTGGGGCCAGAGAACCTAGATTGACGGTGAGGTTGGCGAACGGACCAGATGTCACGCAACCGCCTCCCTCGCCTCCAGGGAGTTGAATCTGGGGAAGAGCAGCGTTCGGTATCCAAGTGCCATTGTTGCGGGAATCGGGGTCACCATTCCCAGACATGGACGTGTCTGAGCCGTCGAAGATGGGGGCATTGTAAAGGTCTTCGGCATAGCGACCCCAGTTGATGTATGGGAATGTCCCTTCATAACCGCATTCTTCGCGGAGGGCTTGTTCATATGTCCAGGTGAAATAGCGATGCCATGATAGAAAGTTGCCAGTCCCATGTATGGACAGAGTTTGGTTGATGTGCGTGCCCAAAAAGTCGTCGTATCGGCTCCGTGCGCCGGGAACCAGATCACCACTGATACTGGGCTTGCTCATGAGGCAGAGCACTGCGTCGATGTAAGCTCGCTTTTCTTCAGCAGTGAGCGTGTCCCATTCCCGGCGGACCCTTGCATTTTCGAAGGTGCATTGAGAGTCGCCGTAGGCTTGTGGTTCTGTTGATCTGGCGCGCGGCAGTCGACGATTAGTGATGGACAATGATAGACTCGCAGATGTGCCAGGAAGTTGACGTAAAGTGCGCAGTCGTAGGTTGTCGAGTGCTTTGCAGGCGAGCTGGTCTGTCCCGGAAGTATCAGCAGGCACGAATGCGGCAATGCCGATGGTGGGCAGCAGGGCTACCACGGATCCGGCGAGACGCATGGCCCAAGGCAGGAGCAGTAGCACGTGAGGTAGGGATGGTGGGGAGTTGGGTGGTTGAGGAGGCCACCGCACGTGGGAATGAGCAGTTTTGAGCAAGAAGGCTACAGTACAAACATCAGCGACACGACACGCGGCGACGGGTGCCAGGTCATCAGCCTGAATCGCAGATGCTGAACTGCCGCGGCCGCCTCCTTACTCGAACGGAAGGTCTCCGGTCTGAATGGGGGCGAGGCGGCACGAACGGCGACAGCGACTTGGACTTGTCGACTTGCTTGCCATGATTCACTTGCAGAGATGGGAGATGAGGCCGGGCGGAGATCGCATTCGTATGCACCGTAGCACTCTGCCCGCCCTGCTAGCGCCTACTGTGCCTCGCGCCTGCAGAACAGCAGCAGTAGCGACTGCCCAACACGGCAACAGTGGCAGTCGGCAGGCACAACGCACGGCATGTGATGACTCCTGCACGCCACGAGGTGTCCGACGGATGTTACACTGGAAATCGCCAGCGCCACCGCTCCTGCAGCGCCGCCTTCTCGACTCTGGATGACTTCTGGGATGATGAACGGGCGTGACAATACCGGTCCCCAGCAATCTCACTGATCCGGTGGAGGGTGCTGCCCGGTCATGGTGGTCCTTAGGCCACTCGCGCTATTGGACCTTTACGGCACTAACTACTGCACCATCCGGCAGCGTCATCCGCCCTGACTGTGCACAGTGCCTCCTGCATGTCTCAGCGCACATCAAAAAAGTGGGAGCTGTGCTGTTCGTGCGGCGGGGACGAGCAAAGACGAAAGCCTGATGATCACAGCTGCAGTGACGAGATCTGCTGCTCCAGAGCTTCCCAAGCTGCAATGCTGCCAGCACAAAACACTCGGCCCTCCGGTCGCTGATCGTCCCGTCAGTGCCCGCGATCCGCTGTTTGCTACGCACTGCTCTCTCTTCGCGCTTCGTCCGCTCATCAGCTTACGGTGCCCGCGCAGATCGCGCACGCGCGCTACTGTGAACGCTGGGCCCCAGGTTCACCATATCGTCAACAAGCGAAGAAGCGCAGACTCCCAGCAACGGTCGAGCCGGCTCTCGAAACAGCCTTTCCTTGGCTTCGTCTTCGCTGCAATTCTTCTACCGTGTCCTGCCGTGCGAGAGTATCATGAAACGAAGCGCAGAATCCCCTTCGACGATCTTGCGTGCACGACCATAAACTGCCCAACTTATGCCTAAAGTCATGACTTGCGAATCGCACATGTAAATACCTGGTCGACCCCAACGCTTTCCGCCTCTCCGCATCCATACCAGTCAACGCACACTGTTCTCGTGGACGAGACCCTTGGTCATCTGGAGATTCGAGGTTCCGGAGCACATTGAACTACTACGTATTGCCTGTCAGATCAAGGTCTTGGGTGGTGGAAGCCCGCGGATTACCCATGCCACATACTGTACAAGGTCTCCCGGAAACCGCTCCTCTTTGACTTCACGCACACAAACTCAGTCTGCCATCGAGCTCTCGGTCTGATCGGCCGCTTCGTGACATCCGAGGGCACAACTTCTATTATTATTCTCGAAACGATCGCCATCCCCAGACCGCCTGTCACCTCTGCGTCCGCGAAACCGCAAATGTGGTGCACGAAGGAGTCCTAGGACGCAACTATACCAGCAACAATCATGACTCTCAGACTTCTTCAACGTCAGGCGACGGGTCCGCCGCCGGATCCAGCTCGATGCGCAGAGAGCAATGCTCACGAGATCCTGGGTATCACGGGAGCCATGATGACTCTGGCACTCATCACCTGTGGAACACGATTCGCCGTCAGAATCCTCATGGTCAAATCTTTTGGAGCCGACGATTATGTCATGCTATCTGCTTTACTGCTTGCCATTGCGACTTTCGCATGCTTCATTGGCGAAGTACATGACGCGCAGGCAGTCGGTCGACATATCGAATGGTACAATATGGCCATCCTGAACATTGTGCTCCATGACTGACAGTACTTGCAGCATATCACCAGAACAGAGCTCGTTGTTCGCAAAATGGATGTACGTCCACTCACTCATCGTGATGTGGGGTGTGGTCTTGGTCAAAATATCCATCGCATTGTTCTTGATGCGCCTTGTGCCACCTGGAAAGAACTGGAAGGCAATTCTGTGGGCTACAATCGGTATGTCTCTCAATCTCGACATCCGCTTTCATCACGAAACTGACATGTTTCCTAGTCTTTCTCATAGCATTCATGCTAGCTTGCACCGGCACTCTCGTCTTCCAATGCTGGCCGATCAAAGCAGCCTGGGACTTCGCAGCTCGGCAAACGGCGAGCTGCTTTTCCAACGATACCTTCTCTGCCATTGGTCTGATGAACAGCTGCATTAATGTCGTGACCGACTTCCTCCTGGCCGCCTTACCAATTCCTGTCATCATCAAGCTGCAAGTGAACAGACGCACCAAAATCTCCCTGATCGCCATTCTCAGTCTTGGATACTTTGCCTGTGCAGCCGGAATTGTCAAAGCTGTCAAGCAATCCCGTTGGTTCGATGAGGCCGATCCATTCTGGCACAACTCTTTCAATGTCTGGAACATGATCGAGCTTTGCATCGGAATCACAGCAGCTTCGCTTCCGGCCCTGCGGCCTCTCTTCGCCAAGATTTTGGCATCTACCAAAGATGCTTTCAGCTACTCCTTCGGCTCCAAGGACCGCACGACTCCCAGCGCCAACCTCCGATCCAAGAACAACCTTTCGGAAAATCACGACGTCGCACTATCCGACATGAAGTACCTCAGCGCATCGTCTCACAACGATTCCATCAGCAAGTCACACAGGAACAAAGCCAGCGTGGACGAAGATCCGCTATTCCCAACCGGTGGAAAACGATATACTGTCGGCGTGACTGCTACACACGATCATAGTGATGATGGATCTTGGGAGGATGTCGAGATGGGAGGAATGAGGAATGGCAGCCAGGAACGACTGACACGGAATTCGCTGACGACGACCTCGCCGACGCAAAACCACCAACGTCAGATCTTCAAGACGACGGATATTACGAGCTCGTCACATCATGTCGACGATGCTTCGGTGAGACATTTGCGATGAGCCAAATTCCAAGCCGCGCCATGTAGGCGCTTTTACCAATATTCAACGAGGACATCTCGAGCTTCGAAACTGTAGGACTTTGTCACTTGATTGTCATTTCTGATCCACACAAGATGCAATAGGATTGGTCCTGGTCAACCAGACCATTACGATTTTACGAGATCACGATTCGCTTGGAAGAGCAGGATATATTATTAGGCACGCGCGGAAAGCTGCCAGAAGGGAAAGAAAGGGACACCAGTGGCCATGTTCGCAAGCAAGCGAATGGACAGATATTGGGCTTCATATGGGAAGCAATCTCACAGGGAAAAGGCACAGGATCTGGCCCGTCTGGAGTTCACACCGAGAGGAGAACGGTGTCTAGGCTGCGGCAGAACACGATATGCATATGGATATGGATCCACTCCGGATGCTGGCCCAAATAGGACATACTCTCGAGAGACTGCGACTCTGGATACCACACGTGGAGACGAGAAGTCTCGATACGACATTCAACAAGCAAGCGTCAACTCAACAAAGCTTCATCAATCCACATCGGAGAATTGTTCAACCTCTATTTATTTTTGTGGGGAGTGGCATGATCGATCACTATATCCACACGGCCCGGAAAAGAGCCAGAAGTGGAAGGTCGGGTCGGTGTCGGTTGAGAGTGGAGGAATTAGGCAGAACTCCTCCTGTCTTTGCCGCAATGAATCTGTCGCAGATAGTACAGATGCGAGATAATGTATACACCGCGAGATTTGCACGCGTATATGTCTCAGACGTGAATGTTGAGACAGCTCGTATCGCTCATGCACATTGTTCAACTCGTGATACAGTCAGCAATGTGAACAGCAAATGCACGATTGCAGTTCAAGTTGGCATTACAGCGTCGGGTAATAGCAATGCAAAGGCACGAAGCGATGTCCGATGATATCCCGTCGAGCTCGAAACGAGACAGCAAGGTCGGCCATTCAGGTCATTGTAGTCTTGAAAAGGTGCACGACAGTTGATCGAGTTTCGCTTCGAAATCTTCATTATCTTGAGAGCAGAGTCGCTAAGATTTGCTCTGTCCCTTCCACTTCATCCGGACAAATTTCTCGAACATGATCGCCGCAATTTGCATGGACCTTCGCTCGCTAGCAGGTCTCACAAAAACAGATTCAAGAAATCCGAAACACCGCCCATGGGGTATATCTCAGCAGGTGCGCGTAACACAGACGGAAAAAGAAATGCGTCATCAAACATCGTGGGCGATGATCTCGAAAATCGACGGCTGAAAATCTTGGTAAATCAGGAGTCACCAACATCCCGGATGCCGCCAGTGGTGATTGTGTAAGTCGCTTCGCCTTCTGGGCAATCTGTTTTTGTTCCAGATCATTGTCAGCAAAACGAGATTCGAGACTCGAAACGAGAACACAAGAAGAGGGTCTTCAAGCTGGTAAATCTCTGGCTGGCCTTACCTGGAGAGTCCAGGATCTTCGCGACACGTTCCTCGCCACGACCCTTGCGAAGCAGGAGCCGAGTGGACGATGCGTGAGCAAGGACATGCCCGCCAACGGGCTTGCGGCCATCGGCACTGGCGAAGAGTGCGCTCGCTCCAGGATCGGATTGGACTTGATTGGTCATGAAGACAGCGACGTTGAACTCTTCGGCGTACTCGGTGAGCTTGCGTAGGTGTTGACCCAGCTTCTGTTGTCGCTCACTGAGCTCACCGCGACCGGAGTAGTCGCTGCGGAAGAGGTTGAGGATGGAGTCGACGATGAGCAGGCGGTACTCTCCTGTGGCGAATTCCTCTGCTAAGGATAGAAGGTCTTCGTGCTGTTGCTCGCTGTTGGCACTGCGCTTGTATCTGATGTTCTCGTTGCACATTTCCGGGTCCACTGTAGTGAAGTCAGCTTGCCACAACGCGAAAGAGGGAACAGCAAGATACGAGTGTAAGGCAAACTCACTGTTGAAGCGCTCGGCGATCTGCGAAATTCTCTCAGGACGAAAAGTCCCCTCGGTATCAATGACAGCAACTTTCCCATCGGCCCCTCTAAGGCTTCTGGGACGTTGTGCTATGACACACATGGTGTGCGAGAGTTGAGTCTTGCCGCAGCGAAACTCGCTGAACACTTCACTGACGCTGCCGGACTCAAAACCGCCACCGAGGATCTTGTCAAGGGCGTCGCTGCCGGTCTTGATCTTGAATACAGCACGGCGTTTTTGGCCGAGCTCAGCAGAAGTGATCCAGCCGGTCGTGGTATCCTGAGATCACGTCAACGAGAGAGCATATCGCCAGTGTCGAACGGACTCACATCAAGCTTGCGGCAAGCTTCTTTGATCTTTTCGACCTTGATCTCGGAGAACCCCTTGATCTGCTTGAGCTGCTTCGACATGGCTGCTTGGACGAGCTGTGCCCCATCAGCTCAGGCAATTCATGTTCGAATTCCAAAGACCTACACCAACTGTGGGGAAGCCATTGGCCTTCAATTTGTCGATGTCGGCTTTGTTGATGCCATGATTCTGGAGCTGCTCGACACCGCAGATCTCGTGCGTGGGGTTCTCCTCCTCAACCTCGTCTGCAGCTACGGAAGCAGGCATGTTTGACGTGCGGCGATCAAGCGAAAGTGAGCGGATAGCGAGATCTTGATGTTAACACTGCAAGAATGTATGTGCTGAACTGGGCGGTAGTGAGCTGTATGAGAGAACGGGAGAGATATGGTGACGAGGTTGAGGTTGAGGATGGAATGCTTCCAGAGGGTATACTGCCAGGCTGCCATTGTCGCGGTGGCCGCAGTGGTTGTGGAAGGTGCGCGTCCGGGATGAAGTCGTGCCTGCTCTGTCTGTGTGGGAACCGTCCGAGGAAGTCGCATACCGCAAAGCCGACAAGCCGCCACAAGAGAAGCACGCAGCCTCACTGCAAGAGGTCAACCTCACAATCACTGCGCTTCGGTTGCTTTGCCCTGTGAGTCAATCAGGAGAACGAATGGGACAATATACAACGCGGACATGCAGGACCTGGGAGGATGTGATCGACTGATTTGTCCATGTATCGAGCTCTCTCACACGTCAACAACCACATTCCACCAGACTTCGCTCGCTCCGCCCGCTGCCGGCCCCCATCTCAATGCTTGCCTACCTCCCACAAAATGCGACTACCGTGCCCCCGTCTTCCCGCAACATCGACGAAGGCTTTCATCACCGGCGTCTTGCCATCATTCGCGTCGATTGCTCCGCTGATTCCTGATCTTGGAAATCTGCTCGGCTTCTGGGTATAAGGTATATGCTGGGTCGTGAATGGTCGTAAAGGAAACTACTTTTGGAAATGGTGTCGTTGGTCGTGAGATCGTTCGAACGCTTGATTGAGAGTAGAGGTGATTTCCTGGTTTGCTGAATCACTAAGAGACTGAGAATCGTGTTGGCCAGAAGAAAAGCTTTCGTGGGTGGTCGCGTTGACCGTTGGCCAGGTGGAACGCAACCAGTATTTTTGAAGTGAAGTCCTAAGCCACGACCTGGGTGGGCGCGACAGGAGCAGCGATTGGCTCAGGCTGCACAGCAGCATCTGGAGCGACCTCGCCATTTACTGCAGTACCGTTGACTTGCTCAGCAGATGGACAGTCGCGGCTGATGTGGCCAGCCTCGCCGCAGCGGTAGCAAGTCTTGCCAGCGCTGTTCAATGGACCGCCATTTGGCGCAGTGCAGTCACGGGAAATGTGGCCAAGCTTGCCGCAAGCATAGCACTTCATGGCGTGGGCCTGGCAGTCACGAGCAAAGTGGTTTGGACCACCGCACTTGTAGCAAGTCGCAGCACGGTTGGCACCGGCAAAACCACCTCGGAAACCGCCACCATATCCGCCACGAGCTGGTCCACCAGCACCACGACCGGCAGGTGGAGCAGCGGGAGCAGCGTTGGGAGTCGGGCAGTTACGCTGTTGATGTTAGTAAACATAGCGGCGGACATGGGGAGAGCTACGTACTGCGAGATGGCCAGCCTGACCGCACGAGTAGCAGTTGCCGGCACCACGAGCGCCTCCGCTCAACCGCAGAGTTGGGCAGTCGGCTTGGACGTGGCCGAGTCCTTGACAGTGGTAGCACTGCTTCGCTGGATCCATTGTGAGTATGTGCATTCGCGTGATTGTTATGTGGAAACTTACTCTCAGTTGTCCTTGGGTGCGGGCAGTTGTTGCTCTCATGGCCTATCGCAGGCGGTCAACATGAATGCTGACACCCGTTCTTCAACATGTTATCCTTACCTGGCTGCTTGCAGTTGTAGCACAGGCGCTCACTGCTGGAGCAAACCTCGGCATAGTGTCCAACGTTGCCGCACTTGTAGCATGCTCGGCGCGAAAGAGACGACATCCTCACTGCCAATTTTCAACTATGACAATGTACGAGTCAGACTCTATGTTCTTCTGCGGAGGTTTTGTCGTGAGCGCGCGTGCAGAAAGCTTCTCGGTGGTACAGTGGCTGCTTCGAAAACTTTTCACGGGAAGGGAAAAGGCTGGATCGCGGTTCGATTGCGCTGCGCTCGTGCTGATCCGTCGACGGGAACGTACCTCGTGATACCAAGATCCTGCTGCCTCACCTGTTAGCATGTGCTGTTGAACTCATTGCGACAATGCGCGCGCTCGGCTGCGCGCTGGTTGTTTCGAGGGGAGCGTCGCGACTATCCGGGTCGCAGTGTTTGCACGATAAGCCGATCCACGGCCTTTCGGTCCCACCGAGCGTGGGTTTCGCACACACACCTGACTCGAAATCGCTGCTGCTGCTGCTTCCACTATCCTCCTCTCCACACACCACGAAAGGTAGGTCGAAGAAAGCAAATGAAACGACGTGTTGTGAAAGGTGTCGAGGGAAATGGCGTTGGGGACCAAAGCCGCAAAACAGTTTGCCTTCCACCTCCACCCCACCTGAAGTGAGCAGGCATTTGTTGCCGAACCCAATTCCTCGATCCTTCACTGGTTGATTAGTTAGCTTGCTTTCCTCTCCAGGGTCTGAAAGCTAGTCGGCGCACCTAGCTGAATGCGACGTTGTGGTACCTGAGCACGAGCCACTTGTGAGAGTGTGTTTACCGAAGGTTGCAATCGAGGTCATCAGCGTGGGGAGAAATCTAGGATGGCATGTCATCCAGAAGTCAGAAGGCATGGTCGACAAGCAAGGCTTCAAGCTGTTCGGCGAACAGAGTCGCGTTTCATCATACATTCGTAAATCTATTTCACATCTGTCGTGCATCTTTTCAAAACCGCGTTTCTTGAAGCTAGCGATATCTGCTGCAGTAGTTCTGTCGACATCTACGCCTCTTTCTCGATGACGGCCGGCGCCTTGATCTCTCTACCCTTGAGGTACTCCAGTCCCTCGCCAGAATAGCTGATGAGAGGCGACACCTCCACGCCCTCGTCCTGCTTCTCACTAACAACGACCGCGCCAGCTTCCTCCAAGAAGCGCTTGCCTTGTAGGAGAATATCCTTGCGGGAGGTCTCTGGATCATCCTCGCCAGTACCCTTCGCGTTCTTGAGGGGAGAGAACTCGTCCTCGCGCTTTACTTCCATGCTGGCGAACTTGTCCATTTCCAGGAATGGGAAGCAATCGAACACAAACTGCTCCATCTTGATACCATTCGGCTTCTCGGGCTTGACTGGATTGCCCTTCTCGTCGACAGTTGGGATCTTCTTCTTTGCAATGTGATGAGGTAGTTTGTGAGCCCATTGCGGTATCGAATCGAGGAACTCGAAGCTGTAGTAGTGGTTGACGATATTTGCGGCACGGAACTTGAGCAGATTGTTGTCCTTCGGGTCTTTGGCCTCGGCGGTCTCTGCATCAATCTGGTGTTTGTCAGCTCATGAGCTCATCCAAACGATGATTTGCAACACATCGGGGGGCTAAGTTCTTACCTCAGAATACTCCACGACATCTGGCTTGCCGTTCTTTTGCAAGATCAGGCCGACGCTCTCCTTGGCGTTGCGCTTTCTCACAACCTTGGTCGCGATGGAAACATTCTTCTCAGCGCTGAAGCCAATGAAAGTCGGATCAGCAACGCGAACCAGGCAGTTGTCGACGCAGTAAGCGTGAATGTGCTTGACGCCACGCTTTTCCATATCATGAACGATTCCAGCGTTGATCAAGCCATTGTACAGTCCTCCATTCCCATCTGGCGCTACAGCAATCTTGCTCTTGCTCTCCAACAGAATCTGTCCCTCCATAGTAATGCACGGCAGGATACCTTGCTCGAAGAAGAGCACGTTGTTGCGATTGAGCCCAAAGTACTTCTTCTCCTCGAAAAACTCCTGTGTCGGCTTCCTCGTTGGGCCAGAGGTCATGATGTACCACGGGATCGTCACTTCTTCCTTGTTGTGAATTTTACTAGCCAAATGCTGGAGCTTCCAAATACGCTCCGCTTGTAGTTGGAAGAGAGACTTATGACTTGGAAGCTCAATGTCATAGCAGCCCTTTGGTGCTGAGCTGCCCAAACGTGTGCCTTGCCCGCCAGCCATGAGCACTACACCGACCTTTCCCTCTGAGATGAGCTTCAGGCCCGAGTCATACCACTTTTTCAGGTCATTCTCGTCACTGTCGATCGTAGATGTAGTGGCAGACTCTGGCAGAGGTTCCAGCTCAGGCTTCTTGTCTTCCCCTTCCGTCTTTGCTGGGTGCAGCGTCTTCTTGGTGATGTTGTTGATGTTTTCTGGATCGATGCTCTTTGCTTGCTGGTATAGTTCGCCTTGCTCTTGCGTGTTCAGCTCCTCCCAGAAAGAGAAGACTTGCCCCTGACCGGCCTTCTCGTACTTTTCCTTCAACTCTTTAAACTCCTGCTCGGTAGGTGGCTGAGAGGCGGGCTGTTGCTGGCCACCGCCAATATGAAGGGAAGAGGCCAGCTTGTTGACGGTATCCTTGATGGCATCCATGTGTAGAGATTCCGAATGTGTGTTTGGGAGTTGAAAGGAGAAGCTGAAGGGCCAGGGAAAAAGAGTGTCTTTGTTTAGAACGAGAATACGAAAGTTGCGTACTCAGCGCGTTGCATCTCAGCTGTCGTGTTTCAGGCTGCCCCTCCAAACCGGAATGACGCTGCTTCTGTTCCAGACACCTTCGCCCATCACGGTACCTTTGCCCATCGAGCCCTCCATTGCAACCATTGCTCCACAGAGCTCCCTCACCTTTGCCGCGTGGTCGACGCTGGATCGCAAGTTCGTTGACAGAGAGCAACCGCGCAGCCGCCATGAAGAGGCACTCGCTCCCCCATCAATCAAGATAACTCGCCGCGCCACCACTTGTTCGACCACAGCGCTCGGTCGTGTCACCCAGCTGAGTCCAATGATCTAGACGGAAATTTCAAAAGCAAAGATATATTGGAAGACATGGAGAGATGATGTCGCGAAGCAAGGGCGACAACAGCCATGGGTGAAGCTCAAACTTCTATTGAACACCGTTCTGAGCGACAATCATGCCGCGATTGCAATCCTGGTCGAGCGCCTCGTGAAGGTATGATGGAAAAAACAGTGACACCGTGTTCTACATCGCCAATTGCGCAAAGAGACTTGGGACACAGTTACAGCACATGGTTTCGGTCCACGCCGTGTCTTTGTCACCACCGAGGAGGATATTTCGCTTGAGACTCTCAAGAAATCTGCTATAGACGCCCAGAAGACCCAATTGCCATTCCGTGACACATTGGACGTTGCCGACAATAGCGACACGGCAAGTATTCGACGATAAAAACCCTCTGCCTTTCCCTTCCCTATCTAGCAGCACCATCTCATTACATTCATTATGGGCCTCGCATCACTCTGTACATTCATTAGCGCTCTTGCTTCCTGTGTATTTGCCGCATATCCTTCTCAACCAGAAGGCATTACTACGACACAGATCGAAGGCAAGCCTGGAGTGTCGATTTCATTCAAGAAGGTATGCTCATTGATCGCGCCCTCAAGATGGGCACTGACACAGCCAGACGACCATATGTGAAACTCGATCCAAGGCCTACGCGGGCTATGTACATCTTCCAAGCACGCTACTCAACGACGACGAAGGCGAGGCCACGGCGTACAACGCATCGATATTCTTCTGGTACTTCGAAGCACGCAACGATCCGAGCCATGCGCAGACTGCGATATATCTTGCCGGTGGGCCAGGTATCTCTTCAATGACGGCCGCGACACAATCTGGAGGCCCATGTATTGTACTACCGGACGCGAACAGTACAGAGAGCAACCCATGGGCGTGGAACGAGTTCGTCAATATGCTTTACATTGACCAGCCAGTCGGCACAGGCTTTTCATACGACTCTTTGATCAATGGCACGAGGAACTTGCTCTTCACTGGAGCTGAAGATGGCGATACTTTTGATATCACACCTACAGAGACTGGCAATGGGACACAAGGCATCGAAGATCCCACAAATCTTCTCGGAACCTTTTCAAGCCAATCCACTCTACGAACCGTGAACACTACAGCAAATGCTGCGCGAACGCTTTGGGAATTTGGTCAGGCGTGGTTCTCCTCATTCCCTGGCTACAAGACTGCAGACAAACGGATCTCCATCTTGGGCAATTCCTACGCCGGCTACTATGTTCCTTACAGTGCAGCCTATTTTCAAGAGCAGAATGTCAAGATACAAGCAGGTGAACTGCAAGCTCAAGTCTTGCCAATCAACACCATAGGCTGGACAAATGGGTGTACCGACATGCTTTATCAGGCTGAGTGGTATCCTGACATGGCATACAACAACACATACGACCTACAGGTACTTCCGGATGAAGCTTATGCGGCAGCAAAGGACGCCTGGAACACTGAAGGCGGCTGCCGAGACCAAATTCTCGCGTGTCGCGAAGCTGGGAACACCTTCGACTCTGCAATGTATGGCAACAACGATGCTGTCAATCAAATTTGTAAAGCAGCGAGCTACTACTGCGCCGTGAACATCATCCTCGGTCCATTCGCCGCGTATACCAACCGCTCAGCATTCGATCTCTCCCATTTCGATCCCGATCCTTCGCCTCCGTATTACTCCGCCGGCTTCTTCAATCAAGGCTGGGTGCAAAAGGATCTAGGAGTACCACTGAATTTCACTCGAAGATCGTTCGCCGTTTCGAGCGCATTCCTTCCTACTGCCGATGCTTTCCGGGTCGAAGGGCTCAAGAATATTGAATATCTCCTCTCTCAAGGCGTCAAAGTATCCATGGTCTATGGTGATCGTGATTACCGCTGCCCGTGGGATGGTGGTGAGAAGTTGTCTCTTGCTGCGAACTGGTCTAGCTCCACTGCGTTTCGATCGGCAGGCTATGCCGACATCAAGATCGGTGACTGCGGCCAAGCTGGCGGCGTGGTCCGACAACATGGAGGCCTCTCTTTCAGTCGGGTCTTCCAAGCGGGCCACGATGTCGCATTTTCGCAGCCAAGGACTGCATTCGAGATTTTCAAGAGAAGTATACTTGGATTCGATGTAGCGAGGGGAAAGCGGCAAACGGACGATCAATACTCTACCACAGGTCCGAGAGACTCCTGGCATATCAGAGAGACTTTACCAGAACCGCCGGCGTTTGAGTGCAATATTTACGCCGTGCCGGAGAGCTGCACGGCTGAGCAGTATCTTGCTCTTCAGGACGGAAGTGCTGTGGTCGAGTATGGTATCGTCATCCGACCCAAGGCTGTGATGGCTGAGAGTCGTAATGATTTATCCTGATTGAAGTGACTTGAGGTGCTCTATAGCTGAAGATATCAAGATTCGGAATGGCATCTCATCCTGCCCAATTCTATCCGCTCTCACTTACAGCTTGAGGTCTTTAGATAAGCGGAATCATCCATGAACGCCAACTCTTATTGGGGGGTTCAATAGCACATATCTATCTTCTTCCTCATTCCTCTCATACCCTCCACGCCTCATGTTTGTGTATGGGCTGAACGTTTCTGCCAGATGCGTTTGGCGGATCATCATAGCAAAAGCCTGGGCATGTCCCGGAAATAAGAGAGCGATTGCCTGCAGTGTGATTGGCGGATGCTCCCGTCCGATTCGAGCTCTCATTGCTGATGTCAACCATGCGTTTCTTTGCCATTGAACATATCACATTCTGTCCACCAGCACTCTCTCTTCTCTCCTCAGGACCAACATTGTGAAACACCCCTCACACAATGTCTTCCGCACGATCTATCATGCGCGCCAGCTGCCTGGCAGTGCGCTCGACCGCGCGACCATTCTCCACCACGACGGCAAGATTCGCAGTCCCTCTCAATGAACGCGGCAACGACACAGCAGACGAATACCGCCGAATCATGAAATCGAAGCCGCTCAACCCTCACATGACCAACACCAACTCAACAATCGCCAACGAGATGCCCAACGTGGGCGAAGACGCCGCTCCACCGGAGCTCATCACCAGCGTAGACGCCAACTTCGTACCAAAGGACTCCAAGCCCGAGAACACAGAGCGCATGACAGGCGGCACCCAAAAGCCTGCGCCAGAATCCGGCCCCAACGCAGGCCTCGATGTAGGTGAAATCGAAGGCGGCACGTTCAAAGTGGAACCTCTTCGTCGCACCGGTGAAGACGTCAACACAATGCGCGCTCGTCTCGTCTGTAAGCCAGCACTCACGTAAAAGAGTCACCATTGCTGACCGCTGATGGTGAACGTGTCACAGATCAAAGCCGGAAAAGAGGGACATTAGAGTCCGATCTCCTTCTTTCCACCTTCGCCGATGCCAACCTCGGAACGATGACGATGAAGCAATTGCAGCAATACGATCTTTTCCTCGATGAGAATGATTGGGATATTTATTACTGGACTACGCAAGAGCCGACACCGACTTCTATGGCGTATGCAGAGGGTGCGGGGCCGGATATGGCTGCGCCGGAGATGCAGGGCAAAGATGTTGTGGATGTTGGTGCTACGACGACTAAGTCTGCTTCTTCCGATGGCACAAGAGTTCGGGAGCCTGGTACTGGGGAGTGGGCGGCGACAATTGGTACTTTCAAGGCGGCTTATCGACCTGTACCGGCGAGGTGGAAGAATAGCGAGATCTTGTCTATGTTGCGGAAGCATGTTAAGGATCGTAGTGCAGGAGGTGTGCAGGATCATGGACAGGTGGATGTTTCTAGTCAACGTAAAGGCGGTGGCTTGGGATTCATGCCTGAGCTGAAGAACTTTGATCAGTGAGGTGGTGATGGACTAGGTGTGTAATACATAGAAGCAATACAATACCATGTACATATCACTTGCTTTGTGCCTGATCGCCAGACGGGAAGTTGTGGTCTAAGTCTGCCCATGGTTTTGCACATTCAAGCAGAACGTCACTCGAAACTGGTGACTGCAAGCCTCACGAAGCATGGGGAAATCTGCTTGCTACGACCGCCACGAAGCTTAATGCATACCGCCTCAAGTGCTGCATGGGGAATATCTCAATTGAAGAGAACTGTCGAAAGAGAGTTGAAACTTACCCCTTATCCTTGTCTCCCGCCTTCCTTCTCGAACGCTTGACCGGCGCATAAACCTCATTGAAGTTCATCGCAATCGCCAGAAACCTCATATCGCTGTCCGGCTGATACGCCAAATCTCCCAACAGCACATTGACCTTCGCCTTGAAATCTCCTTCCAAACCCTTCAACCGCTGCCGAATCGAATCCAACATATTCCGTTCGCCATCGATGCCGCCTTGAAGAGGTAACAAAGGAGGTATCGGAGAGTCCGTCTCTCGTTCTCGCAAACGCTCCCTTGTCGTTTTGCTTGCGGTCGGGAAGAGTGGCGAAGGTTCTGACCCTTCGTCCGCTTCTGTGATGCCCCAGCGACCAGCGCGACTACGTGTCTCGATTTTTGCGGCCATGTCTTGTCGACGGGTGAATTCTGCTACGCTATAGCTGTAGAGACTATCGAGAGCGTCGCGATAGGCCAGCATTAACTTGAACAACTCGTGGAGCTGTGTGGTGAAGTCTAGGCCGACCATGCCAGAAGCGCCGAGAAGTCCTTTTCTCGTGATGTTGCGAAGATACTCTGTATGAGCATTGATGAGCGTGTCGAGTGTAGCATCAGGCTTCGTCATGTTCCGTTGTAAGTCAGCCCAGCCTTTCTCGATGACTTCGAAGAGGACGTAGTATTGAAGCTGGTCCACGAAGTGGATCATCTCCGCGAGTCGACCTCTCGCCGATTTCCAGTCTGAAGCAAGCTTGTCTCCCACTGAGGCTAGCACGCCACGGGCACCAGTCTGGAGCCTTCTCCATGTCGTGGAAAGCGCGAACTCCACACGTTTCACTCTCCATAAGAAATTGAAGACTTTGAGATACTGGCGGCCTGCCCAGGGAGTGACGATGACGTCCAAAGGCGAATCCACTCGATACTCTAATGTAAAGACATCCCAACCGATCTCGCCATGACTGAGCTCCAACATACGAGCATCAAGGCGGCGTAGGACGTCTGCGTTATCGTGCTGAGCGTTGGAATTACGAATAGCATGCTCCAGCTGAGCTGTGAGTGTATGGCGATACTGGCTGTTAGCCGGTCGATCGAGATTTTGCGATAGAGATTCCATGAGCAGAGCGATAAAATCGCCCTGGCCCAGTAACAGATATTTCTTCATAGCTTTCAGGTGCGTCGATAAAGCAAATTTCGTCTCCAGCAAGTCCATGAGTCGGGCCATAACAGCTTTGTATGCTTCGTCAATGCTAGCGAATAAGTCCGCCGTGTCGCCATACTTCAACTCTTTTGAAGCTGACTTGCTGTATGATTCCACCCAAGCACTGTCGCCACAAGCGTAGCGAATGAAGTTCAGACTCTTTCCGATAAGGTAGACGCGGTTCGCAAAGTCCGAACTCATGATGGTAGGGATCATGGCCTCCTGCAGGCTGTACTTTTGCTCCCAGACACTGGTCGCACCACCCTCTTCATCCGGATTTTCTACCACGAAGAACTCCCTGTAAGGATCCTCGAGCTCGCCATCGTAGATCCACGCTCTGAGCATGTGGTAGAAAGGTCTGGTAACTTGTGTGAGCAGCTTCTCTGCAAAATTGTGCACAAATGGATCGCCATGTTGTGATGAAAACCCGTGTATCAAACTGATCAGCTCGCCACCTTTCTTGCCTTTGGCTGACTCCACGATCATGCTCATAAGCCGCAGGCCTAGCGTGGCCTCTCTGGTCCAGACCACGCATCGTTTGAGAGTGACTCCTGCTTTCCCAAAGCCTCCGTCAGGTTTCTGCTCATCGAGCTCAGCCAGCGCCCGTCGGATTTGACCCTCAAGGGTAGCGACCAGACTCAAATACGATCGCAGTTCCTGCCCTATTGCACTCCGCAGACTCTGACCAACTAAGCCGCCATCGTTCGAGTCAACAAAGTCGGAGAGCGATCTGTACAGTAGCGACGGCTCGGCAAGTTGATGTAGCAGAGAGATGATTGGCACTGGCAATGTCGTAGGTAATCTAATGCTCTTCTTGTCCGCAAATGGCAAATGTGTGGAGGAGAGGCCTTGTAGTGTGAATGGCAGATCGCGCAAGAGCGCTGCCTCTGGGGGGTGAAGCGCGCCCGACGTATTCTTCACCGGAGATTGAGGTTGCGGTGTCCCGTTTGCCCGTTCCTGAGTCCTTGGTCTCGGAGGCATAGGTCGCTCTCGATCGCGCACTGTAGTCTCCGCTTCCTGTTGTCCAGGATTTTGGGTATGCGGCTGTCTGGGCAGCCCATTCCTCGCAAATGCATCGTTGAAGATCTCGCGACGCTCTGCATGTTGCTCATCCTGTTCCGTGTCCGGCTCCTCCTCGTCGTCCTCTTCTGCCTGAACCTCGTACTGCCGTGGTTGTGATCCTGCCCTCTCTTGCGCATGGCTGCCATTCCTACCAGCCTTGAGCCTTTCGTCCTCTCCAACCCGCAGCAAAAAGTAAAGTATAGCCCATTTGTTGTTCAATACCGGCTGGCTCAACAGCCTGGAGTACAGGTTGCTGAAAGTGGTCGCCTGCGCAGCATCTCCGTCGCGCACAAGCTTCCTCTTGATCAGGTCTGCCGCTTGATTGACATCGTCAATTGGCAAGGGTTCGTGCTCGCCCTCGTCAATCAGGTTCGTTGCGATCTGGTTTGCATCTTCCCAGCGCTGGTCTGCGCTATCTTCATCCTCGCCTGGTTGTTGCGGGGGGATGGTTCGTTCAAGAAGAGATTGAAGCGCGTTTTCGACGCGTTCTTGTTGACTTCGCGACATTGGGAGGCGGTCGCATATTCGTTGTGGGCGTTATTGTGACGAGTCGACGCGCATGTTGTTCAGCGGCACGCGATGTTTGGCGGGGTGAGCCAAAGTCGAAGTTCCAAGTGCGGAGTGGCATGTGAAAGGGACTTGCAACTACCTACGCAAATACGACGATGCATCAATAGAGTGAAACGTGATGCATTGAATTTATTTCATTACTTTGCCTCACTATTCGTAGCATGTCGCGCTCAAGTCAGTCTATGAACTCGAGCCAAAAGGTCGCTGCCACGCATGGAAGCAGAAAAGGAGTCCTTTTTACCGCCCATGCCAGCATTTCCGTTTCCTTTGCAGCAAGTAACGCCATCTTCGCCATCTGTCTGTGCAGCTGCCACATTCGCCTTGTTTCCCAACGCGGCCAACCATGAAGAGAATTCCCTGAAAATCATCTACAGTTGAATCAAAAGTACACCACTGGCGTTTACTTAAATCAACACGATCTGCCGTCCGTACACCGGCACGTCGTCAATGGGGCGCGGCGTCGGCGGCGACATGTTGAGGTATTTCGAAGGCGACTCGATGCTGTGAGCTATGCCTTCGAAAGATCGATCGACGGAGCGATCAGACATGTAAGCGGGCTCCTAGCTACGCAACGGTTAGATGCGATGTTCGGAGGCAAGAAAGTGTGGTGACACTTTGCTTACCTCCTCTGCATCTGCGCTTGCGCCATCTGACCTTGTTGCGGCATTCCGGGGCCGCCTTGGCCCATGGCCATGCCATATGGATTGGCATAATGTTGAGTATCGCCGGCGATTTGTTGCATGGCCATGCCAGAGATGCCTTGTGCTTGCGACACTGGGCAGTCTTTGTGCGCCAGCAGGAGAGTCTTGAGCCCAACAATTTCCTCGCGTAGCTGAGTAACGGTAGCAGCCAGTGCATCGTTTTCAGTGCTGAAGATCTCGACTTTTTGCTGGAGGTTAGCCAGCCATTGCTTCTTCCGCTGTCGGCATTTGAGGGCGGCGACACTGTCATTGTGTTAGCAATCTGGTATCGAAGAAACAAGCCAAAGTGCGTCCTACCGATTGCGCTCCAAGAAGTTCTTACGCTTCTCCTCATCTGTCATCTTCTTGCCATCCTTGCCCATCTCCTCGGCTTCGGGGCTCATGTCGTCCATGTCTTCGGGCTCTTCCGACTGTGTGCTAGCACGCGCCTTCTTGTTGGCACCTTGCTTCGATGAACCCTCGTCATTCTTTCTCTTGCCATTGGCCGCACCCTTACCAGCGGCACCCTTCTTGCCACGAGCGTTGCGCACGTTGGCCTTGTTGTCTTCTTCCGAGTATTGGTCAGCATGCTCGGTGCTACCGGACATGTTGCTACCAATGCTGCCCTTGTTGCCTCGCTGGTCTTGCATGCCTTGTTGGTAGCCCTGTTGCTGTGACATCGGGTAGCTGGTCGCGTTTCGTTGTTGCTGCTGCTGACCGCCAGCCTGCGCCAACATGAATAGACCGTTCGCGGCCTCGTTGCTTTGGTGAGATCCAAACGGATCTTGGTTATCTTGCGCTGCGCTCTGACCGTTCGGGTTGTAGGGCTTGCTGTCAAGATCTGGCTGAATGTTCGGGTTCTGTTGCGCTTGCGATGTCGCGGGTTGACCGAGGCCGTAGGTATTCTGAGAGGTCTGAGCACGGGCAGTCATCGCGGTTCGGTGGAAATCAAGAGTGCCAGGCGTGGCACCTCCACTCTGTAAGCTGCTGAAAAGGGCCTGTGAATTTGGCGATGGCTGTGGGAACATAGACCCGCCACCGCCGGGCGTCAAACCAGTTCGAAGCGAAGATTCGTTCGGAGTCGGGAAACTACCAGCGAAGTGATGGTCGCTGTTGAAGTAGTCGTTGGAGCTGGTCGGTCCGGTGAGCATAGCCGGACTGAGAGGGCCTGAGCGAAGGGAACCGGGCCAGCCGGGCGTGTTGCCAGGAATGAGCGACGCTGGCGATGTGAGACTGGTCACGCCTGGAAGTTGCGTCTTGCCTGGTGTCTCTGCGGGGTTGCCAAATGCGCTCTCGAATGGATTGGGCTCCTTGGTCAGATGGGATCCGTTGCTCGACACACCAAAATAATCGCCGTCGCCGTTCTGGGTGGGTTTGGGCGGTGGGGCGAGCGGCGCATTGGCACCAGTAGCAGCAGAGTCTTTGTTTTCGGGCTCTGCTTCAGGCTGCTTGATCGTAGGGACCGATGTCTCTGTGCGAATGTTAGTGGCGACCGACGATGATGTGGCAAGTGCTCTGTGGTCGCGGTGATGCGGCAATGGCGGCGACGTACCCGACTTCTCGGATGGCTCTTTCTTCAAGATGTCTATACAGCAGTCAGTTGTCGTGAACTTGCGCGCCAATGGAATCTGCCTCGTGCTGATAAAGCCTATGATGCAATCGAGGCTCGCAGGTGAATTGACGGTGAGCGGTCGCGCAACTCGGCGGCGATGCCAGCGCAGAGAATTTTGCAGTGTTTGGGGGATCACGTACCTGGCGCCTGCAACGAATTGCGATTAGAACGCGGCGATGCAGTCTGGCTCTTCGTGCTCAGGTGTGGTGAATTGGCAGTCGTTGTTGATGATCGAGTAGCGACTGCGGCCATGATGACGTCGGGTGGCCTGTATCGTGCTGGGCGCTGCCAGGTGACGACGATCCTCGAACCTACTGCCTTACTTCTTCCACCTCTCTTCTTTGCACTCTCTTTCCACTTTGCCGTGTGCAACTACGACGCCGGAGCACTGGACCTGGTCAGCAAACGTGTGCACGCCGGAGTGTGCAGTGCGCATGGAAGGGGAGGAAATGGCGTGGCTGCGACTTGTCCCATTTGGGCCGCGTCGACTTGGCCAGCAATTCCTGCGCGGTGGCAAAACTCCTGCGCGTGGCGACGCAACACCTCTGCGAAGCCGTCGCGGCCTCCCCAATCCCATTGCACGCGGTGTAGGACTCACCTCGAGTGCGCAGTTGGCCTTCCTCTGATGGACAGCTGGTCCTGGCGATGACTTCGGTCCTGGGGCGCTGGTGACGTAGGTTTTGCAGCGGTTTCAAGGAGACGCGACGAGAGACCGAGCAAGTCTCGATGACAGCGGCCGCGTAATGCTCCAAACGGCCTGGGTGCGGGTTCCAAAAAGTGCTCGCGGTGGTGTCGTCCAGCGCAAACGCCCTCTTTTGGTAGTACAACGTGACTTGCACGCGATGTTCGACAATGCGCGGTGTTGATGCGAAATACGTCAGCGGAGGGAGTTGAGGCAATGAGGTCAGAGTCTTCTTTATGGAGGAAAGGAAAAGCTCGGCAGATTATTAGTGAGCGACTGGGCGCGCGAACGCGCAAGTGCAGGTGCGGCAGCCGAGCACGGCCCCCTTCCACGCTCCTCAAACACCTCGACTCGCAGCTCCGGCGCGCTTCTATCGTAACACCCACGTCAACCGCCGGCCTCGAGCCACCCCCTTCCGCTGCCTCGCTGGGCGTCGTTGCTGCTGCTCTTTGTGCCTGCACAACAATTCGCCATACCGCGTCCTCAAAGCCCCGTTCAGCGCTGAAAGAGGTGGTTTGAAATCATCCCGTTCACGTGACCGTCGAAACGGGACTCGCGGCTACGATCTCCTCGATGCGCTCGATCGCTGGCCCAACAGCTCACCGAGCCTCATGCGCGCCCTCGATCTTCGCGGATACCGCTCCACGACCATATTTCCAACCACAACATTCATTCGCAACACAGCAGTTGCGCGTAGATGGCCCAGACTCACCACGAGGATCACCCGTCTCCATCTCTCATGGGAATTTAAACATCCTGGAGCCTCTGACGTCTTTCCTCCAACACTCCGATGATAATCCAACAGACGCAACAGAGTTTTTCCCAAAGCTGCAATCCGGACACAGCTCCTCGTGGGCCGTGGCGCGTTTAGGCGACCTGTGGATCTTTCGGAACTGCACACTCCATGGCATGCATTGAGCTTCCCATTCGCTCATGCCAATTCTGATCTTGCAGTATCGGAAAGCCTTCATCCAATGCGCTGATCGTACAGCATCCAACAGGCCACCCAAGGGCCTCGGAATTGCTTTCAGATGATGCATACTGGAAATGCCTTAAACAGCATTGGTATGGCAAAGTCTCACGCCATTTGTGGCGCGACTCGAAGCTCATTTCACCTTTACCGTTAAAACACAGGGCAGAAGATGCACCACGTCTCAAAAGCGGTCGGTACCGCTGCGAGCTCGACAGTGGTATCACGTCCTCCTCTGCAGCTTTTGCATCCCGTCGCTCGCAGCCTCTGCAGCTGCGACCACGCAACACTGAGCTGTGGCGCGACTCTCCAACACTCTGGCATACTTTCGTGACTCGAACGCAGTTAGTCAACGAGCGCAGGGTGCCTGGTGGGAGGGCAGGGAATGTTTGACACTCCACGAGGCTGCGGGGCCTGTCGCTTCATGACTGCGACGCAGAGCAGATTAACAGATTTCTCGCCTTTCACATGCACAGAACTGGCGCTGTGGCATGATTTGATTATGCTTTTCTGCTGACGGCCGTGCCTTCCCTGATAGTACGCCTTGCCATGCTCAGTCTCTCTGTTCGACTGCCATACCACCTGTGTGGCTCGTGAGGCTTCAGCCCGCGAATGAAAATAAGAAAGGGTCTCTAGCAAGGTCCAGGACACCATGTCAAACGGCACCATGTATAGCACAGGGTGCATGGGAGTTGTCAACAGGTGAGGTTGAAATAGCCGTGCTTGTGACGTCTAGTGAGGATCGCGACTCGCACCCACCCATCCAACCACTATCCACTTTCACATGAGGGAAGATGACATATTGCATCATAGGACATCTGGAAATACACCATTCACGGCCAGCATTGCGAGCGAATGTGTTGCGCCAAGGGAGATAGCGGCTGAGCTCATATGCACCGATCTCACATTCTGTATCTCAGGCGACCGCACAGTATGCATGGCACTTTCTGAAACGCATCTCGACTCGGTCGGTACTCATACTGCGCATCAGAGGCGAGCGACGTTGGACGAGCTATCTGTCGCTTCCTGCTGAGGACAAATTGACATGATACAAGACATACGTTTGTCGAGCCATGTGAGCCACAAAGCGTTATTCCGAGCACAAGTAGCAGCATGCCACACGGATCTGAACCCTGCGCGGCTATCGAGACACCATGTACTACAATCATTACTACGACGGACACTATGCTAAAAGCAATACATACGAGTGCATCTGTGGACTCTTCATGCTGATTCTACGTCGGCCAGCTGATTCCGATCGCCCGACTTGGTCTTCATGCGCAGGTATCAACTTTCTCAAATTCGACTCATCCAAAAGTCATCAAGATCGCCACGCAGATGAATGATAGCAGCTTTTCCGCTTCAGTCATGGTTGAGTTAGCGCACAATGAGCGCTGCATGTGTCTCCGGAGCACTCAACTCAGTGTTGGCGCTGGAAATGGCACATCCCACTCCACAGTGCCATTTGCACCAACACTTCTCAATGAATCGCCGGCTCCGGACTACCTCCGGAAAGCAAGACAAAAACTAGGATTAATATTGCATACTTCGCCCGGGAAACTCGAGTGCGCTCTCAATCCTCGTATCTCCGCCTTGTGCAGCGTAGCTAAGGCGCTTCGCCTCAACAAGCGACGTAGCTGTGGGATTGATTTCGCGAGAGAGATGCAAAGTGGACATATTTCCGAGTTTCCATTTTGCTGTCCGCAATCAACCGAACTGGTGCATACAGAGGAGTCATTCCGCATTGCCTTTGCTGCAGGTAATCCCTATGTGGCGAATCGTGGAGTGCTAAAGCGGAGCACCTCAAAAGACTGGCGCGAGCTTCGTTCTCCTTGTGCAACATCCTGCCCCAAGCGATAGGGCCTCGTACGAGCTGTTTTCGCCGATTTCCCCGGCAAGATGCACGAAACTCATCGGCCAAAATGAGCCGCGCGTGATGCGAATCCTGGACTCTGCATATAAGACATGGCATCGAGCGCATATAAGAACCTAGTCCTGCTGGCACCCCGCACGATCTCCAGACCTGTACGACATACAACAACGATTGAGGATGCGCAGCTCCTACGCTTTTTGCTCGCTCACACTGTTTCTGGGCGAAGCAACTTGCAAGCCTCGAGCCAAGCACAATGGACGCAATAGACTCAGTGCGTCCATCAACGTGCGCTGTAACAAGGCCGCCGATGGCACTCAACCAAATTTAAGCACGCCCTCGTTCGGCTCGAGAGGGATCGTCTTCACAGTCTGCACAGAGCGAGAAATCGAAGCACCGATTGAACTCGTCTACAACACGACTGTTGACTTCCACAACTACCCTGCCTGGAATTCTTTTGTGATCAAAGTCGATCCGACACCAGGATATTCCTTAGACACAATGCCGCCTCCAATCAACACAATCATGATCTTCACCAACCAGGGCTTGGTTCCAGGTACCAATGACACAGTACAAAGTACTGAGCAACTGTCATTCGCAGACGCCAATGTCGACGGCAATAGTCTGGTAGCGATCAGTGCATGGAAGTCGTATGAGCAGGCTGAGCACCCTAACATCTTGACTGATTTGGGGAATGGCAGAACGAGATATGTCAGCTATGATTCATTCTACTACGACATCAGTCAGCAGTCTTTGCCGTTAAAAGACGCTCTGCAGCGTTTATTTGATCAGCAAGGGGATGAATTGAAGGCGTTCGTGGAAGCAGAATAGAAGTCTCCGGGATGGACGAAGCGGCGTTGTGTTTGAAAGATGATGACTTTCGCTGTCTGCGACACATACATCGTCGACTTCGTTTTCTGCGCAGCCTCAGCTACATTCCTTCCGCCGAAGCATGCATTTGCGGATGTGTAGCCCAGTCGAAGCATCTCGACACTCTGCACACCGCAACGCGGAGACTGCTTCGAAACGGGCACAGCCAAACGGGAACAGCCAAACGGGGATAACACAGCGTTATACTTGGCGTTATCGCGCCGCGTATCCAAAAGACATCGAAAAGACACAGGCCGTGGTGTGCATGAGGGGAAAAGAAGTAAACGACAATTTGAATGACTTTCGCAACCACAGCTTGAAGTTAGATCGCGTTTGTATCGAGCCCTGTTGATCCGTGCCCCAAGATCAGGTCAACTTCCTCCGCGATAGCAAGAACCTGCTCCTCTTCTAACCTCTGGCCAACGACCTGAAGACCAATGGGCATGCCATGGAAGAGTTCTGGGTCATCTGTGCGGTATATCAGTCAAGTCTCTGCTGTGTGGGTTAAAGAGGCTTAACTTACACTGCTTTGCCACTTCTTCGTCTAGTGGATTGAGTGGTGTTGCCGATGCCACCGCAACATCGACGGCCTTATCGACGGTCGTACCTGACCGCACCGCCACTGCTGAATAGTCCAACACGTTCCACACTCCAGTGTACCCAAAGTACCGGCCCTTGGTTGGCTTATGAGACGTTGTTGGTGCAGCGGGAGCAATGACCGCATCGACGCCTGTGGACTGCCAATATGAAGCGTAACGGACTCCATAGTCATACTTGCGAGTCTCAATGGTCCAAGCGTCGTTGAGGCTGCTGACTGGCAGATGGCCGACTTTCTCACCATACGAGATGGCCAACTCTGGCACAGGTGGCTCACCTGATACTTCTAGTTGGGAATGAATGTCCTTTCCTCCATCTGCTGCGAATGTGTCCCACTGTGAACAGTCAGTCATCAGTTTGGCGACTGATCTGCGGGTCTGATCTCACATACCAGGCTTACAAATGCTTCTGCATGAGCGGGAGGCTCCCATTCTATGACCTGAGATCAACGGATCAGCAGTGTTGGAGAAAGACGTAAGGCGCGACTGGAGTACCTCATGTCCCTTGGCGACCAAGGCTTTCACAGCCTCATCGACGGCCCGCGCAACTGGTGGGTGTGGTCGCACCATACCATCGCTTCTGATCACGCCAAATCGAAGCTTCTTCGACGCAATCTTCTTTCTTGTCTCGTCTTCGAGACCCTGGCGCCAGGGCAGAGGCACGACATTTGGATCGAGTATCCAAGGTTGCACATCGAGCATCGTCCTGGTCAGGAGCCTAAGGTCTTGGATGCTGTGGCCCATTCCACCTATTGCCGAGCGAACGACGGATTGCCCCTCCATCTGTGAATGATTAATCCCCCGCGGCGGTGATCTTTGCGGAGTACATGCTGGTAACTCACACTGTTCGCAACCCTCAAACAAGAAGTCCGGTTGTGAGAAGGCTTGAGTCCGACTATGCCGTTGAAGGCGCACGGAAGACGAATGGATGCTCCTGTAAAGCGTTGCGGATCAGTGATCAGACTATGCAAGAGCGAGAGCATCCACGACAACTTACCAACGTCGGACCCAATGCCCAGAATACTACCTCTCAAGGCGAGCAACGCAGCCTCCCCTATTCAAGACGGAACACTCAGCACGTATGCCACCTCGTGGGAACATGATTTGGTAATCTCGCTTACCTCCTGACGAGCCTCCTGAAGAGAGTAGTCGATTGTGCGCATTCTTGGTATACCCTACGATGTTGTTGTTCGTTTCAATCGCCTACCAGACAGATCAAAGTGAGTCTGTGTCGTGATCCGACGTCGCACGTCACGGGGGAGCTCAACGTACCATCAAACTTGTCGGGACATTTGTCTTGCAATAGAACACTGCCCCCAGCTTCCTAAGGTCAGACACGAGCTGCGATTCAGTCTCTTGGGTCTCCGGCTTGCCAAGCCAGGAAACATATCCGAGCGATGTATCAACGCCTTCGATGCGGAATTGATCTTTCAACGAAATGGGCAAACCATGAAGAGGACCAACAGTCTTGCCGGTCTTTGCATAATGCTCATCAAGTTCAAGAGCCCGTTGTTTGGCATCGGCGAAGAGCACTTCACTCAAGCAGTTGGTCTGCAACGATCACAAGTCAGTACGGTGATGCACAGCCGGACGCTCTCAAATGAAGCTTACCAATTGATGAGCGATGGTTGCACGATGACTGAAAGCTTCTGTGACTTCGACTGCCGACAGATCGCCTGACGCGATGCGGGACAACAGCTTGCTCGCAGATTCGATTTCGGTAATTTCGATCTCTTTGGGAGACAGTCCCTCTCGAACAAGCCCAAAAGCAGAAGGGACAGAATCGGCCGAAGGGACACTCTGAACCTGCCATTGCGAGGGCAGAGATGCCGCGATCGCTGCACGCTTCTTGCGAGCGATTTCTTCCCAACTTCGCTTCGGAGCCAGCTCTTCTTGCGTCATGATTAATGATATTGACGAATGGCGATGGTTGAATGACTTGTCTTACCAGGCGCTTCCGGCCCTTATTATGTTCTCGAGAGAGCGCAGTTGCTCTGCTTCGGTGCTACAATTTCTTGGCTTCCCTGTCTCACGAGCAGTCGAAGTTAAGACATGGTACGCGTAGCGTCCGTGCTAGCGTTTGATGGCTATGTGACAACGTGCAGTAGCCTTGGCCAGGGTCTTATGCAAGACGCAATTGATCTACACGACGCAAGCGTCGCCTTAACAAGAACTCTCCACTTGGCGAATGCTTTGCGAGACGTGGCGGTTTGGCATTTGCAGTTCCTGGCCCATTTTGCGTGATTGCACATGTGCCCAACACAAGTGGGGCGACGTGGGAATATGCCGGCTCCATGAACGGCAATGCGACTCTGTCAAACAGCAGCCTGTACATGGGAAGGAGATTACAAATGTATAGAAGATGGAAGAAGCATTCGCAGCAGAGATTCGACAAGCACAGCGCAACACAAGTCGCAATTCAGATCAGATATGGCTCCATTTGCCTTGACTTTCTCGTCCGCCTCAGCGGATACGGCATCCGCGGTTCAAGTACAGAAATATGACGATGAGAAGACTTCGAGTGGTGAGCTGGCAGCGGGCGACGTCTTGATACAATTTCTTGCCATTCCTGTCAATCCACAAGATTTGATGGCCATTGCTGGAAAATATCCCATTCAGCCTGTCTACAGCACCGCCGATGGGTCTCGAATCGCAGGCAACGACGGAGTGGCTCGCGTGGAGAGCATCGGACCAGGAACCAAGTCATCGCTGGCAGTCGGAGATGTGGTGCTGCCAAAGCGTCATGGGCTGGGAACTTGGCGAGATGTCGCCATCCTCCCGGCTGATGCGCTCTTGAAGATTCCCCGGGATGTGGAGCCCGTCGCCGGAGCGTTGCTCAAGATGGGCTTTGCACCAGGCTATTTACTCGTTGAGGACATGGTCACTCTGCAGCCTGGAGACTGGATTGTGGTGAACGCTGCGTTGGGCGTCATCCCTCAAATGGCGATCCAGTTTGCTCGCTTGCGAGGCTGCCGCGCCATTGCGGTGGTGCGGTCTCGGGGTCATGAGGAACTGGAAGCAGCGCGCGAGCTGTTGCTTGCAAACGGCGCCGCGGTGGTCGTCAGTGAAGAGGAGCTGGAGGAACGCGGACAGGACGCAGATCCTAAGCTCGCGGCAGCAGTCAAGGGACAGCTCGTGAAGCTGGCATTGGACGCGGTATGGGGTCCAAGTGCCGAACGTCTGGTACGCCTCCTGGCTCCCAATGCGACGTACGTCAACTATGGCTCGCTGGGCGGTGCAAATGTACAGTTGAGGCTCAGCCAGGAGCAGATCTTCTGGAAACAGATCAAATTCCGCAACTTCCGCTTCTCACAGCAGCTGGCGTTACGCAACGATGCACAGGTGGAGGCTTTGTTGACTTGGTTTGTGGAACTGCTGCGAGAGCAGCGCGTACGGGTGCCACGGGTTGACGAGTGGCGTCTGCCGGGGGACAGTGATGACAGTACGAAGAGGATCGTACACGACGTATTGCATGCGGCGCAGAACAGGGCAGTGGGAACTAGGAAGGCAGTGTTTGTCATTCCCGAAGCATAGATCGTAAAATGATAGACAGAACGTATCTCCATCTCAGCTCGACTGGCTTGTCGCAATTTGCTGCCAACGTGGTTCTGTGTTCGATGTGTCTTTTCAATGCTCGCTTGCAATCAGACACTTGGTAGCATAGTGGTGTCAGAAAGACAGTCGTACGCATCTGCCATTCGAAAGTCGGAATCAGACAGGAAGTAACATCGGCAATGACGGACTCTTGTTCCCAAGAGCCTGATGAGAAGGCAAGACAGAACGCAGTGAAACTCTTAAAATCATATTCAAGGTCTATCTGATCATTCCTGACATGCTTTCAATCGGAAAGAGGCCGTATCAGTCCACGTATGTCTTCTCCTTCTCAATAGCAGCAGCATTGAACTTTCGAAGCGTGTCCTCAAGACCCGGGATCGGCTCGTCAAAATCGATGCGTGCACTGTTCATAAAG